GTTTCTTATTCGCTTCTCTGGTTTTTCGCACGCGGCTCGAGCCTGTGAGCAAGAAACATTCAAACCCAGGCAAATGGGACATTCTAAGGGAAAACCCACAGTTAACACTATCATTTGGCTACAAATTCTCGCTCATACGCTAGATAATTTGCCCGTGCGATTTCCACCTCGGATTCTCGCAATTGTCTAAATGTGATGTGACTGTTTACTATCGTTCAGACTGCAGCCAATCAGGTTCAGTGTCAACGCGAGTCATCCTTAGAACCTGGTACAAGTTATATGCGATTGGTGCAACGACGACTAGCGCAAAATTTTCACAGGGGCAATTATTTGGTAGATGCAACGCCCAAGTACACAAACAGGCCAATGAAAACAGTCGCATTCACCATATGAAAGTTTTGTCGCCACTTGTAGAAATCTTGTGATCCACGTCAATGCACTTCTGGGTGATCGATGACCAGTTGCGATGCCAATATGTTAGAAACGCCAACAAGGATTACTTGTGCGATCCACCTACTTATGGGCAGACGCGAAAAACCTCCATTCGCCAATCGACACATGCCAACGCCAAGACTCCTCGTCTACGTGTGATGTAGTTTCAAAATGGTAGTGTTTTGAAGCATTGTTTTACGTAGTTTTATGTTGTTTCCAACTTCGTATCGTTTCGAGTCTGTTGTAGTCGAGTCAATTGACGGTTTGGTGTCAAGTTTTGTTTTCTTCTTGTGGCAACGCATCAATTAGCGTGCGCACCTGAAACCCCAGAGTGGATACGCCATGTTAAAGCCCGAGTCTAGAATTACATAGGGGGATTTCAAGAGAGCCCCCCTTGAAGTAGGGCACTCCTGTAAAGTTTTGAAAGATATAAATTGAGCTGAAACCCATTTTATGGGCAGCAGGAGAAAGTGAAACGCCTGAAAACGCATGAAATGCGAGTTTCGACGATTGCGACAAACGCAAGCGACACATCCACGAATCGACAGGCGACGCGAATCGCAGGGAAGGAGCATGGATCCAGGGCGTGTTTAGAAATCAGAATCAACGTAGAGTTTCATGCAAAGAACCTCGAAACAATACCCAAATTGGGCTAATCAAGGTTTAAATTGCAGGTACAGAACCGAACCCGCGATTTGAAACAGGCCCTGAATCCCAAACGCAACAATGAACACAACGCAGCAAAAGAAAATGCTGTGTACATGTAACTAGGCCAGAATTTGCGTATACACAAATTGCCTGAATGCTTACAAAGAGTAAACCACATCATGATTGCATCAAACCAGTTTCTGTTTGCACCATTATGCAACCTACAGGCACATTACTGTTTCTCTAAATTAACAGATCCTGCAAACGAGTAAGCATTCAGGATCCTAGGGTCCGCCGTGGCCTTTGTACCTAGGGGAGGGACAGAGGGGAGTGTGTGCATGTGGTGTCTGAACTTGAAAAAAGGAGACGGCCTGGGAGGCCTGCACACACAGACTGCGATTGGGCAAAAAGACCAAGAAGTGAGGTAGTGTGTGAGAAAGGACTCGGATAGACAGTGAGAGGGAGGGAGGGAGAGAGAGAGAGAGAGAGAGAGAGAGAGAGAGAGAGAGAGAGAGATTGAGAGAGAGAGAGAGAGAGAGAGAGAGAGAGATAGAGAGAGAGAGAGGGAGAGAGAGAGAGAGAGAGGGAGAGAGAGAGAGAGAGAGAGAGAGAGCGAGAGAGGGGGGGGGGGGGGGTGGAGAGAGGGAGAGCAGGGAAGAAAGGGAGACAAGGAGATGGGGAACCAGGGCAGTTAGAGGGGCAGGGGTGAAAGGGGGGACGCACAGAAGGCAGGGGTGAAAGGGGGGAAGCACAGAAGGCATGGGTGAAAGGGGGGAAGCACAAAAGGCAGCGGAGGGAGGGATGGGTGAAAGAGAGACAGGAGGGGTTTATGTCATCTCTGCCATCTCCATCCCCTCCCCCCTACCCCTCCCTCACCGGAGTCCCTCCCCATCCCTTTCCCCCTCTCTGCCACCTCCCTCCACATCTGTCCCCCCCGCTTTTGCATCTCCCTCCTCATCCCTTCCCCCCTCTCTCCATGCCATGTCGATTCCCATGCCTGCCCCTCTCCCTACCATCTCTCTCCCCATCCCTTCCCCTCCCTGTGCTCTCTCTCTCTCTCCCCATCCCTTCCAGGAGGGCAGGGAAGCATAACGCGATGGGAGAGAGAGGGTGGGGAAGCGTAACAAAGGAAGAGAGGCGGGAGGAAAGCATGACGACGGGAGAGAGATGGGAGGGAAGCGTATCGCGACGGGAGAGGGAGAAGGGGGGGGGGGGGGGGGGGTGGAACCAGACGGGAGAGTGGGAGGGGAAACGTAATGACGGGAGAGAGGGAGGGGAAGCATAACGACAGGAGAGAGGGAGGGGAAGCGTAACGACGGGAGAGAGGAAGGGGGAGCGTAACAACGGGAGAGAGGGAGGGGAAGCGTAACGACGGGAGAGAAGGAGGGGAAGCGTAACGACAGGAGAGAGGGAGGGGAAGCGTAACGACGGGAGAGAGCGAGGGGGAGCGTAACGACAGGAGAGAGGGAGGGGAAGCGTAACGACGGGAGAGAGGGAGGGGAAGCGTAACGATGGGCGAGAGGGAGGGGAAGCGTAATGACGAGAGAGAGGGAGGGGAAGCGTACCGACGGGAGAGAGCGAGGGAAAGCGTAACGACGGGAGAAGGGGGAGGATCGATTTGCGGGATGGGAGGTGGGGGAGGATTGGTTTGTGCGACGGGAAAGGGGGAATGGACGATTGCGTGACGGGAGAGCCAGAGGGAATATTAGCGGATGTATATTCGAAGAAAGCCGTGGAACGGGACGTGGCGGTCTATCTTTCGCAGGCATTTTCGTCGCGTACGTAGTTCCGAGCGTCTAACCCAGATGCCGTGCCGAATTGGCCGGCGATACGCTAGACTATGGGCTACTAAGGACCTTGCTTGCCTCCTAATGCGCTAGCATCCTAGCAAAGGCCCTGGCGAGTACACCGCACCAAATGCAAAGTGGGGGTCCACTTGAAAATGCCAGTGGGGGGCTGGTCGTCTAGTGTGGTCGTTGGGCTTGCTTCTGCGACGTGAGTGGTTTTCGCGCGCTCACTTTTGGGCGTCGTCGGCACGATGCAAGTGCCGCGCGCCAATGCGTGCCCTCGTTCACCCTCGCGTTTGGTTTTGCGTGTGTTCTCAATGTTTCCCCAACAAAAAGATGGAACTTTTTTTCTGCCTGAAAGAAAAAATACAAGTTTCAAGTGAGCCCCAGCTGTGTAATTTTAGCCAAGGGCTTTAAAACCTCGCGGCATGCCTACATGGACCTTATCACAGCTAACAACAGCATCCCCACCCCTGCCAGCTGTGCATACGACAGGGTTCCTGCCCCTCCCAGCCGTGCATACAAAGCGCTCCTACTTTCTTGGGAACGTTACAAGCAATTTTTCCCGGGGCGTACCACCCTATTTGCAAAGTGCATCATTCCAACGTTCTTGGAGTTTGCACTACGGAAAGTCGACTTGGAGGTGGGATTGAAATTTAGATTGTTACGGGTGAGACAATATAGAAAAAAAGGTGAATTAGCCCATCACGACCCAGTAACCCAGAAACTGCCAATCATGACCCCCTTGTTGCCCGAGTCAGTCACTCGAGGTTTTTAGGTGGCAGGGACTGAAAACGTCACTTTCGTTTCGCAGACCTCGCCACGGGCAGATTGGACTGTAAGTGTTGCTCCTGGGTTATCCTCTTTGTCATACGCGGGATGGTGGGATGGCAGAAGGGGGGGCTACATTTGTTCGATGATCAACAGCCAGTACCCCCTTGATTTTTTTGCGATGTCTTGCACCTAGTTACGAAATTGTTGAAAGTGGTCAGAATCATAAAGCAGGGTAACACAGCCCACAAATCAGCCCGCGGGTTCGTTGCAACTCCGCCGATGTTGATGCCCAAATTCGCACAAGCTTCTGGCGAAGTGGTTTGAGCCGAGGTTGAACGGGCAAATGGGGCTTGTATGTTAAAATTATATAAGTTATAATTTAATATAGGCTTGGTAGGTTGTTACTGAACCTTTCTGTAGAGGGTACAATCCCCTCCTTGTACTGCTCTCTCTTCCTAATCAACTCTCTTCTTTCTCGATATTCTCTCCCCCTACTAGATCCACTTCCCTCACGCCATTCCATGGCGGCTTTCCTACCCTCCTAGTATCCTATCTTAAGTAGCTAGTGTCATAAGTTCTTCTGATATTGTAATGGCCGTTGCCTTGAGCGGAAACAGTGCACGCCATGTGCTTCAAAACGGGGTGCGGTTGCCCGTGCTAGAAACAGAAGTGATGCGGGAAGCTTTTGTGAGTGAACCGAGACGTGACTGACTAGGGCAACAAGGGTACAGGTCATATGCCATGAGAGCCCGGGGGGCGACGCGAGAGATTTCGCTTTTAACGAATCCGGGCCGTACGGTAGGGGCAACGTGGACTCGGGGGTTTTCCCAGGAAATGGGGCGTTGTTTTTTGTGTACTGTGCATGGGCGGCTTGACTGGCGTATGCAGTGATTGAGTAAACGTCGCAGCGTCACAAGCCTTTCCACGAGTGTATCAAATCCACGATGTTGGGACCCCTCTGTTGCTTACTTGGCAATTTCCTGTTGGCAGACGGATGACGGAATTTCCCAGGGCTACGCAGACGGATTCTGTTGGCGTTGCTGGCGTTAAGCTACTGGACCGTCACCGAGGTGGTCGTATCTATAGCATCATGTGGATTTTGGTCTCGACATTGGTTGGCGAGCCTGACACTTCTGGATGTTTAAAGGCTCGCCAACCAGTAGGAGAGGTCGCCCTGAAAACACAAGAGCAAACTGATTGGACGGCCAAAGATCAGCCGAATTGACTGTCGAAGTTACTTTTGAGTTGAGACGAGTACACTTTGCGTACAAAGAGAGGCCCTTAATTATGAAATGCCTATGGGGTACTCCTGGGCGTAAAAGGAAGTCGTCTACAAGGCATATGACCTGTATCGAGGTTCTGACGAAGTAGTCTTGCATCCTGATCAGCCGTGTAGCGTGAAACACGGCGAAATGGCTGCCACGTTCCTCCCCGCTGCGGCAGCAGCAGCAGCATCTCCCGTGGCGTTATTCACGCTTGAATCGCGTCAACCTTCTGCGCCCTACAAGTGCGTAACCCTAATATCGCAAAAGCCGGCGATTTCCCGAGTTTATCGTTACAGTCACATTCATGGCCCAAGAGTTTCCTTCCCTAAACTGCCTCGATTCAACGTGTCAGCGAGCGCGAGTGACGTAGACGGACCCTCCCAGCGCGTCGGCTCCAGAAGACGTGGCAGGCCTCGGAAAATCAGGTCCCCGGAGGAGGAAGCTTCGAGGGGAAATTCGTCAGCTTCGGAACATTCAAGGCAGGGCGACGAAGCTTCCTGGACGGAGAGCTCGTCTGACGAGGCTAGCGGATCGGACGGCGAGGGTTCAGGGTTTCAGAATAGGCTGGAGAGATTCGAGAGCTCAGGCAGGGTAGTGAAGGTTGCTGCAGCGGAGATTGTGACTATACCGGGCAGGGCATTGGAGGGCGATACTGCAGAAATTGTGACTCTGACGGATGACTTTTCGAGTTCTGATGACTATATCGAAGGCTCAGATGCGGAGCCTGAAGAGTCTGACGAGGAACCCCTGCAAGCTGATTGGTCGGGCGAGAGCGGGGATCAGCCAAGCAACCCTGCTGGCAGCAGGGTGGTGGGCGGTCTTCCCCCTCCCACGTGGCGACAAGAGCTGCCGCCCTCTCCTCCGCCGGCGCCTGCGGGCCCCAGTCAGGTGGTTTGCGTGGGGGAGGCGGTTCGGGAATTCGTCCCTGTTGTGCGCCGCAGCTCGCGGCAAGCCCCAGACGAGATCTTTGCCACGTGGCGCAATCTCCAATGGGTGCCCCCCGATTTCGCGCGCGCCCCGGGCGGGCCGGCGTGCCAGGTGGCCGTCGCGCTGGCGCGGCTGAATGCTGACGTGGCGTTCGTTGGAGCAGTGGGAGACGACGACGCAGGAGAGGAATTCCTGGAGATTCTGGACGCCAATGGCGTGTCGACACGTGGCGTGGATATGCGGCCCGGATTAAGAACGGGAACAAAACTAATCTCGTTGGAAAAAGTGGAAGCGAATGGGAGCGATGGGGAATCAGGAGAGGCAGTAGAGAACGGAGAAATTTTAAGAGGAGGGGTGGTGATTAAAAAGAGCAACGGTGATACTGCTGTGAAAGCAGCCACTGCGTGGCGTGTCGGCTTCCCATTGGCTGATGAAGCGAGTGACGTGGCAAGCTGGGAGGAGGAAGGGGAGGAGGAGGAGGAGGAGGAGGAGGAGGAGGAGGAGGAGGAGGAGGAGGAGGAGGAGGAGGAGGAGGAGGAGGAGGAGGAGGAGGAGGAGGAGGAGGAGGAGGAGGAGGAGGAGGAGGAGGAGGAGAGGGAGTCAACAGAGGGGGGGGAGGTCGGGGAGCGGAGAGTAAAGGGGCTGGCGGCGGCAGCATCTGGGGGAGGCGTATCTGAGGACGCAAGGGACGTGCTTACACAGGTAGGTTTGGAATAAGACCTGCATTGTGCAGGCTTATCTGGACAGAGCTTATCCTTCCTTGCCTCTTCTGCCCTCTCCTTTCCCCTTCTCCTACCCTCCCACATATTCATCCTGTAGCTCTGGGCTGTCTTCCCACTGCTCTGCACCACCCTGCACCACTCTGCACCTCACACTTGCCTCTGCTCACACCTTTACTCAAATGCCTCAGACCTCTCTGCACCCTTTCTAACCGCCTTCCACTCCTCTCGTCTTCCCCTCCTCCCCCTCAATCTCCCCCCTCCCCCCTTCCCCCCCTTCCCCCCTCTTCCCCCCAAACCCCTTCAGGCCTCGTGGATTCACTGCACCTCCATGTCGCTCGCCACCCCTTCCGACCGCACTGCACTCCTCTCTGCACTAGACGCCGCAGGCTGCCACCCACTCTCCTCCTCCTCCCCTTCCCCCTCACTCTCCCTCACACCCTCCTCCCCTCACTCCTCCCCCTCCTCCCCCTCCCCCCCGCGCCTCTTCCTCGATGTGAACCTTCCCCTCTGCCTCTGGGCCTCCCAAGCCTCAGCCTTGGCAGCGCTCGACCCGGTTTGGCGCCGAGCCTCCGTGGTGGAGGTGTCCCGTGCCGAAGCTGAGTTCCTGGTCGGGGAGGAGCAGTTTCTGCGGCGGCGGCAGGCTCGGGTGCGGTACGCTTCGGACTCGTACCTGACGTTGAGGGGGGAGCGGGAGGAGGGGGAGGGCGAGGGGGTGTACCACTGGAAGCCCGAGGAACTGGCCGGGCTGTGGCACGAGGGCATGGAGCTGTTACTTGTTACTCATGGCACCATGCAGGTATGCATGTTTAAGGTATGTATAAACGAAAAAGAGCATGGGAGGGAGAAAGGGCGAGGCGGTGTACCACTGGAAGCCCGAGGAATTGGCTGGGCTGTGGCATGAGGGCATGGAGTTGCTGCTGGTTACCCATGGCACCATGCAGGTATGGATAACTGGATGGGAGCATGGGAGGGTGGGAGCATTGGGGGGTGTTCCTCTGGGGACGGGAGGAACTTGTCTGGGCTGTGGCATGAGGGCATGGAGTTGCTGCTGCTTTCCCACGGCACCATGCAGGTATGTGTGGAAGTATGGAGGGCCAGCGTGGGTGCATCGAAGTATGGGCGTTATGAGGGGGTGAACCATTGGAGGCTCGCGCAGGGACGTGCTTCTTGCATCTCCTTCCCCCCCCCCCCCCCCCCCCTTCCCGCCCTTCTCCCCCCCCTCTCCCCCCCCTCTCCCCCCCCTCTCCCCCCCTCTCCCCCCCTCTCCCCCCCTCTCCCCCCCCTCTCCCCCCTCTCCCCCGCCTCTTTTGAGGCGCCTCAAAAGCCATTGGAGGCTCGTGCAGGGACGTGCTTCTTGCACCCCTTTCCGCGCCCGCCCCTCTCCCCCGTCTCTCTTTTCCTTGTCACAGGTGCACTACTACGGACGGGGCTTCCACGGGTGGGTGGAGGGCTCTAAGGGCGTGCTCATTGAATCCCTCTTGCCCTCATTCCCCTCCCCCCGTCAACGCCCCTTTTGCTTGTCACAGGTGCACTACTACGGACGGGGCTTCCACGGGTGGGTGGAGGGCACAGAGGACGTGCTCATTGCGGCGATGACGTGTGACAGGGCAGGGTCAGGGGACGCTCTTGTGGCAGGTGAGCGCTAGTTATTGTGATTGTATGGGGGAAGGGGAGTGGGGGGTGATGGGGGAGGGGGGGGGAGAGGAGAAGGGGGAAGGGTGGATTTTGTGGCTGTGCTGTGCTGATAGCAGCAATGACATGCGGCAGATGGGCGTTCTAGTAATGGGCGTGCTGTTATAAGGTGCCTCGTAGCATGGATTGGGGAGTGGAAGTGGGCACGGAGGATGTGCCCTTTGCAGCGATGACGTGTGACTGACAGGGCAGTGTCAGGGGGCGCCCTTGTGGCAGGTGAGCGCTAGTTATTGAGTAGAGGGATGGATGGAGTGGACGGGAGGGAGGGAGGGGGGTGTGCTCATTGCAGAGGTGGCGTGTGACAGGGCAGGGTCAGGGGGCGCGGTCACAGGCTGGTGTCATCATTATCCCAGCTCGGCGTTTTTTTTTTTGTTTACGATTGTGATAGTGGGCATCGTGTCAGGCTGTGTGACTGAGTCTGCCTGTGGTCTTTGAGGTGTCATGTGCTCTCTTCTCCCTCCCCCCTCCCCTCCCCTCCTCCCCCCCCTCAAACCCCCTCCCCTTCTCCTTTTCACCAATTCTAACCCTACTCTTCAGGCCTCCTGCGTAAGCTTTCTACTAACCCGGCCATTCTCCGTGACCAAGATGCCCTTGAGAGGGCGATTCGCTTTGCCATTTCCGCCGGAGTTATTTCCTCGTGGACAACCGGGGCCGTCAGGAGCTTTCCTTCGGAGGAAGCCACTCAGAACCTCACTGAGCAGATGTTCTTGCCTTCCATGATTTGAGCACGATGTCGCGTTTATGCAAAGATTTGGAAATATTGACCAAAAGTCCAATGCAGGCATTTTGGCAGTTGCCTTGCGTGTTTACACATTAAAAGAAAAGAGAGCACATCATTTGCCTTAGATCATATTACTAGTACGTAAATTTGTGGGTAGTTTTGTGTACCAGCATGTTTGCACGCGTTTTGCCGTGTTTGTGACAAATCTGGTGGCTTGTATTTTGTCCTCCTTTAGTGGCCACCCGCTACGTGCAGCTCCTGTTTTTTCGCGCCAATAGGTGAGAAACTTGCCTGCCCGACCACGTCACATCAAGCTGCTCCCTGCAACCAAAAAAACAGCTCGCGAAACAACTTCGATTAAACTCAAATCGTCGGGTCGTTTCTCTGAAAGCACGAATTCAGGCAAGAAAGCATTCACCGAATGTACAGAGCCTCGGGAGATTGGGCGTTCCTGCTTTTACAAACTTCACCAAACCTTATCTTTTAGAACGGGGTAACTTACATCTGAAATTCCACCTCATGGTATTCGCCCCTCTACCTGCCCCCATCAATCCAGCCCCCATCAGCTTTCCCTCCAGCACCTACTATGGAGTGTCAAGTCTAGGTTCGGGTGAAGTATAGACGTCTATTCGTCACTTCACCGAGCACTAGAGACACTTTCCCTGGTCTTGTTGATGTCCCTTCACTTATAGCTCGTTTGCTGGGCGTCCAACTTTAAGAGAGTATTGGCGGCATAGACCGTAACGAGGTCTTCCGTCGAAGTTTCATCCCGTTAATTATGTAGGCTTTCTCAGACGTTATTTTTTCCCATGTAGGCACAGGTCAGCACAATGTCCCTCTCAGTGGCCCTTAACGGCCCGTTGTTCGCGCTTGGAGGCCCGCGCGAAGCAGCGTCGGAACTTCGCTGTAGCTGCGTCGTCAGTTCCCCCGTCGGCCTCAGCCGCTATCCTTCCTCTTCGGCTAAATTATCCGCGTCCAGGCCTCCGACGAACCGCGCCAGACGGCTCGGACCGAACCTCGAGTCATGGGTCGGGACGCCCCTCAGGCTTTCTCCGCCTGCGCCTCTCCAAGCTCGCGGCAGGGGAGCCACGGTGATCGTGCGAGCCACGACAGACTTGTACCAAACCCTCGGGGTTCCCTATACCGCGAACAAACAGGAAATTAAGAAGGCGTTTCGGGAAATGGCTAGGAAGGTGCGTCTCTGAATCGTCGTTGATCGTTGGTTGCAATGGCGTCAATGATACGCATTGCGAGAACAACATTTTGCTGAGGTTCGAAACAGCTGAGCTGTTAGTTTCTTGCCCCGCCCAGCCCATTCACCCCCGATATTTCCAATCCCTTCCCCCAATCCCTTCCCCCAATCCCTTCCCCCAATCCCTTCCCCCAACGCTCACATGACCCCTCCACCATCCCCTGCCCTCACATGACCCCTCCACCATCCCCTGCCCTTCATCCGTACCCTCTCCTCCCTCGCAGTATCACCCGGACGTGTCCCAAGCCTCAGGTTCGGGCCGAGCCTTCCAGGCCATAGTGGCGGCGTACGAGGTTCTATCAGACGACCAGCAACGGCGCCTGTACGACCTCAGTACCGCTCGCACTCTTAGTGGCTCGAGACGCCGCTCCCCACGGCATTGGTCGTCCATGTCATCTGCCACGTCAGCACACAGATCGTCTGCCAGGTCAGCATCAGAATCACCGCGTTTCTCCAGGCACAATCAGTCAGGTCCACGTGTCTCGTCAATTCAATCCCATTCCCCATCCCATCTCCAATTCTCCTCCCCATCCGTTCTCCTTCCCTACCTCCATACCAGCTTCGACCCTTCCGACAGGACCTTCTCAGGCTCGGCTTGGCCCTCCTCCGAGCCTATCTCAGCTTCGGCCCGAGCCTCGTCCTCCGAGTGCCCGATCTTCTCGGCATGGTACCTGCGGTGGCTGTTCAATGTGCGCTGGTCGCTGGCAGTGAAACGGCGAACCAGGCGGGCCGCTGAATTCAAAAGCAGGGGGGCGACTGAGCTGAAGCGAGAAGGGGCGGCTGACGTCAGAAGCAGGAGGGATGCTGGAGGGAAGGCGAGGGGCGGGTGGGAGGGTGTTAGTCAGGAGGGGGGGGTGTGCAGCCAAGCTGGTGGGGAGGGGAGGAGGCTGCACACACAGAGGGGATCTGAGAGACTTGAGCAGGCTGGATCAGAGCAGGCTGGATCAGAGGCATTGTTGGAAACGGGTGGGCTATGGGGAGGAGATGGCTTGACTTCTGGCAGGGTTGTTGTTGTTGCTGCTGCTGAGTTTGCTGGTCCGCCTGCTGCTGCGGCTTCCACTGGCGCTGCTGCTACTGCAGCCACGGCGGCTGAGGGCGGTGCAGGACGAAGAGAGGAAGTGACAAGATCGAGAGAAAAGAACACCATTTCTGGAAGTAGGGTTTCTGGAGAGGAAGCTGATCTGCAGGATACAGCCGCCTCTGCTGCTGCCGCTGCCGCTGCTCCAAGATCTAAAGCTCAAACCGAACCCCTGACATCACATGCCCTTTCCCTCCTCTCTTTCTTCCGCCACGCACCCTCCTCTCTCTTCCACCTCCTCCTCTCCCCTCTCCAGCCCGAATGGCGAGCCTCCATTGGCTCAGACCTAGTGTTCATCCTCGTTAGTAGCGTCCTTTGGGCTATTTATGGCATCGATGCTACTGTAGCGTGGCTCTCCTTGGTCCTTATCCTCTCGGCGAATACGAGGCTCGGGTTGAAGGTTGCCGGAGCTGTGGCGTGGAGGCTCGGGGGAATGCCGGGCCTGGGCATGGGTGTAGGGCTCCATGCCTTGCTGTTTTTGCTGGGAAATGTGCATCATGAAGCGGTGGGAGCTATGGCACTTTCTGTGTGTATGGGAAGGGGGGTTGTTGGCGGATTTGCTTTGGCACCGGTGATTGTGGTGTTTTTCGTCTACAAGTGTTTGGGGTTGGTGGATTTTATATGGTTGGAGTGTAGGAGGGCATGGATTTGTGGGGCGAGGCGTGCTTTTGAGGGGGAGGTTGGCCAATGGGAAGGTGACTATATGGAGGGAAGCGATGAGTTCGCATATGCTACTAGAGAACCAGTAGCATATCACATGAGCATGGCTCCGTTGTAATCTCATTACCGTAGCACATAGCATTGATGTGCTGAGAAGTAGTTACTTTTATTTATTCTAACCAGATGCATATCCAGTTGCGTTTCTTTTTCCCCCTAACCGCAATAGCCATTCTTGAGTTTCTGTCAGGTACCACATGCTTTTTCGTTCATTTGACGAAGGGTGGGAAGAGACTTTGCGCATACTATTTTACTGTCAGCGTATGCATTCTACAGCGAGCTAATTGTATGCACACGCAAGTTCCATGTCTTTTAGCGAATACGGAATTCACCACCACCATCGAAAAAGCGCCCGACGTTGCCTGTCACCATCATTTCCCCCCTCGTTTTGCCTCATTTCCCCTCGATTCGCCGCATCACCCGCCGCGTCCCACGGCGCGGGCTACGTAGACCTGCACAAGGTCCTGTAGACCACGATTTTCCAGCCGTCCCGCTAATCGCCGGCGGCGCCGAAAGGTTGTTTTGTAACGCGCTGAACGGCTCTCTGGTATCGCTGAGTTGACCGGCCATTTCTCCTCAATTCTCCTCCTAACCCGGCGCGGGTTACGCAGACCTGCACCAGTTCCTGTAGACCAAGAAATTCGAAACTCCAGCCGCCCCGCTTATCGCTGGCGCAGGGGGTTGTTCTGTAACGCGTCCAACGCGCTCTGGTATCGCTGAGTTGACCGGTCAACGGTTGACTGGTCATGCGAGCAGTATCAACTCAGTCCAGAGCCAAAGAGACTGGGGGGAGGGCGGCAGGGAGGGCAGCAGCCTGTGGGGAGGGCAGGGCAGGGAGGGCGCTATGGGAGAGGACGACGGGTCTCCGTGTGTTGCGGCGGAATTCGAGGAGTACGCGCGGCGTCTCGACGAGATTGTGCGTACTGCGGCCGCCGCGTGCAGTAGGACGACGAATCTTGCGACGCCTCACGCTAGCTTATACGAAAATTCCTGTCGTCTGTCCGCGAGACTGTGCGTACGGCCGCCGCGTGGTGTAGGACGACACTTGCGACGCCGCACGCTAGATTCTGCTAGAAGTCTTGTCGTATATCGTCGTGTTCACGAAATCCGTTAATAGAGAGGACGAGAGTTTGCGTGAGTTTCTTAAGTTAAGTTTGCGTGAGTTTCTTAAGTTAAGTTTGCGTGAGTTTCTTAAGTTTGCGTGAGTGTATTCTTCTCTCATGTACTGTACAACTGTCTTCCTCCCTTTTAGGTGCCTCAGAGATCCTCTCTCTACCCGTTATAAGTCCTTCAGCTCAACTCGCTGCTAGTTGCGTTCTTCTCTCTCGTTTCTGTCCACTTCCCGTTGTATCACATCGCGTTTGCAGAACGAGCGCAGGGAGCGGCTGGTGAAAGCGAGCAGAGACGTGACTATACAGAGCAAGAAGGTCATCTTCGCCATCCACAGGTGTGACATGGCACGTGCTGACGTGGCGTGAGGGCGCGGCGTGATGACATGGCATGGTGCGGTGTCTCTAGTGTGATAAGTTTTTATACACGTTGAGCACGTTGAGTGCTCAACGTGAATCCAGGTTTTCTAGATTCACGTTGACCACTAATCGCCCTTCCAGCCCCCGGGCCCCCAAAAGCCTTGGCAGCCGCAGCCGCAGCCGCAGCCGCAGCCGCAGCCGCCTCAAAAATGAACAGCAGCTGGCGCTGCTGAGTGCGGCTTCCCTGCGCTCACATCCAACCACATCGCTCTAATCGCCCGGGAGCTGAGTGCGTCTTCCCGCTTGCCCTCCCCCCCCTGCACTCCCATCAACCATCCCACGTGGCTAGGAAGCTCTCTCCCCCTCACCCACCTTCCCCCTTCCCCCACCTCCCCCCCCACCACACCCTCGTCTCCCCACTTCCCCTCTCCCTTATACAGCCCCCACCGCTCAAGCCCTGCCAGCCACGGCAGCTGCTGTGCCGTGGCTGCCAGGGCACAGCAGCTGGCGTCCCTACGCTGTGCCCTGCTGTGCCCTGCTGTGCCCTGCTGTGCCCTGCTGTGCCCTGCTGTGCCCTGCTGTGCCCTGCTGTGCCCTGCTGTGCCCTGCTGTGCCCTGCTGTGCCCTGCTGTGCCCTGCTGTGCCCTGGCAGCCACGGCACAGCAGCTGGCGTCCCTATGCTCGCACCACGTCGCTGATGTGGCCCAAGAGTTCTTTACCCCCCTCCCCCCCCCAACATGATTTTTGAGGCGCCTAAAAAAATGTGGGCCTAGAGTTCCTTACCCCCCCCCCTCCCCCCCAACACCACACACTCAGTGCGTCTCCCCACTTTTGAGGCGCCTCAAAACTAGACTCCGTGCGTCTCCCCACTCCCCCTCTCCCCTGCAGAGCCACCACCCCTCAAGCCCTGGCAGCAGCCGCGCAGCAGCTGGCGTCCCTGCGCTCGCACCACATCACTCAGGTCGCTCGGGAGTTGAGTGCTGAGGACTACTGGCGCTTCACACGGGCTCACACGTGGGGGGTACGTAGAAGGGGGGCGGGGAAAGGGGCTTAGGATGGGGGGAAAGTGCATGTAACCTGCGCAAGTCCCCCAGAGTGCTGAGGATTACTGGCGCTTCACACGGGCTTACACGTGGGGGTGAGTGAGAGTGGAGGGGGAAAGGTTTGGGGTTGCTGTGGTGGATAAAAGGGGGAGGGAGTGTTGCTGAATGCCAGCCAGGGCTACTGGCGATTCACACGGGCGCACACGTGGGGGGTAGGTTGAGGGGGAGAGGGGGGGTGGAAGGGGGATGGGGTAGATGTGGCAGGGGGGTGCGTGGATGATAGCCACATCGCTTAGGTGGGCCAGGAGCTGAGTGCCGAGGGCTTCTGGCGATTCACATGGGCGCACACGTGGAGAGTGGGTGACAGGGGAGGAGGAAAGGTTGGGGGTGCTGTGGGGAGTGAGTGCAGGGGAATGGTGGGTTGGAGATGCTGGGGATGCCAGGGGGTTAGCCCTGTGAACCGGCACCACAAGTGGCCTGGTAGCGACGTGCTGAGGACTAGTGGCGCTTCACGCAGGCGCACACATGGGTGGTAGGTGAAAGGGGAGGGGAGGGAGGGGGGAGGGGGGAGGGGGGAGGGGGGGGAGTGGATAGGCTGGGAGTGAAGTAGTCATCAGCACTTAGCTACCGGGCCACTTTGCTCAGTTCTGGTACTTAGCACTTAGCTCAGTTCTGGTACTTAGCACTTAGCTCAGTTCTGGTACTTAGCACTTAGCTCAGTTCTGGTACTTAGCACTTAGCTCAGTCCTATGCCTGTCAACCTGTGAAAGTCGCCTGGGAGCTCAGTGCTGAGTTCTACTGGCGATGTACGCGGGCACATGTGGGGGGTAGGTGAATGGGGGCAGTACGAGTTCTAACTAGTCACTCTCATCTCATCCCGCTTCCCTATGCCGCAGGTGACCTTTGAGTCGACTAAATAGGCACACGCTCCCTTGTGCCCCCCCCCCGGGCCAGTGTGCAGTTACAAGAGTATGTGGAGGCGGCTTCTAACAGCCCACTCTCCTTTCACACCACGCCTTCCCTTGTGCCCCCCCACACCCCCTTCCCCCTCGAAGCGAAGGTGTTGTGTGACATTGTAACGAGGTGACTTTTGAGTCGACTCAAAAGTCACGACAGCCCACTCTCCTTTCACAGCACGCCTTTCCTTGTACCCCCCCACCCCCTTCCCCCTGCCACGGGCCCATGTGCAGTTACAGGAGTATGTGGAGGCGGCCTCTTTCCTGCATTTCCGCCAAACAGGGGGGCTGCTCACTCTGGCGCAAGTGAGAGGGCCGGCCATTGGTTTTAGTTGGTTTATTAGAAATCCCAAAACACCTCTTAGTTGTCGATGAGCGTTCTGGTCTGGCAAAGCTTCACTTCTTAGCTTGTCTTCTCCGTTTTCTTTCACTTCCTTCCGAATACCCACTGTGCCATGAGTTGGTTTTTGCTCCACTGCAGGCGTCAAAACCACTGCAGGCGCCACTGCAGGCGCCAAAACCAAGTCTTTGAGGATCCCCACTGTTCACTGCGGTTGTCTTTGCCTCATTGTTTGCCTTCACTGCTGCTGCCGGTGCACTTGAACTTGGCATTCAAGGGCGTCACGGATCGCTTTTGAGTAAAGTCAAAAGCTGTTGGATGTGGATTTCTTTGCCTCACTGTTTGCCTTCACTGCTGTTGGTGCAGGTGAAAGGGTCGTTTGTTTGAAGGCATCAGGAAGTAGTTCTATTTTGAGACGTGGCGAGATAAACCTTTGCCTTACTGCTTGCCTTCACTGCTGCTGCTGCTGGTGCAGGTGAATGGGGCGTTTGAGGGCGTCACGGATCGGGACGGACGCACCTTCCACGTGCATGCAGCAGACTATGTGCTCGGGGTGAGGATGGGGGGGAAGGGAAAGGTTAAAGGGGGGGGAGAAGGGGAGCGTTGGAAAAGTTTTGGGAGTTGAGCGGACCTTTCATGACCTTTCATGACCTTTCATGACCTTTCATGACCTTTCATGACCTTTCATGACCTTTCATGACCATGTGCTCAGGGTGAGATGACGGAAAACTTCCCCCAGACGCCCTGTCTCCAGCCCCCCGACCCCCCCCCCGTCTTCTGTGCCCAGCTCGCTGATTGGACAGGCGAGGTCCTGAGGCAAGCCATGTCCAGCCATGCTGGTGCTGCTGCTGCTGCTGCTGATGCTGATGCTGGTGCTGCTGCTGCTGCTGCTGATGCTGGTGCTGCTGCTGCTGCTGCTGATGCTGGTGCTGCTGCTGCTGCTGCTGGTGCTGCTGCTGCTGCTGCTGGTGCTGCTGCTGCCAGTGGTGCCGGTGGTGCTGGTGGTGCTGGTGGTGCTGGTGGTGCTGGTTGTGCTGGTGGTGCTGGTTGTGCTGGTTGTGCTGGTGGTGCTGGTTGTGCTGGTGGTGCCAGTGGCGGTGCTGCTGGTGGTGCTGCTGGTGGTGCTGGTGGGGCTGGTGGTGCTGCTGCTGGTGCTGCTGGTGATGCTGCTGGGGGTGCTGCTGGTGGTGGTGCTGGTGGTGCTGCTGGTGGTGGTGCTGGTGGTGCTGCTGGTGGTGGTGCTAGTGGTGCTGCTGCTGCTGCTGCTGCTGCTGGTGCTGCTGGTGCTGCTGGTGCTGCTGGTGCTGCTGGTGCTGCTGGTGCTGTTGGTGCTGCTGGTGGTGCTGCTGGGGGTGCTGGTGGTGGTGCTGCTGGTGGTGCTGCTGGTGGTGGTGCTGCTGCTGCTGCTGGTGGTGGTGCTGCTGCTGCTGCTGCTGCTGCTGGTGCTGCTGGTGGTGGTGCTGCTGCTGCTGGTGCTGGTGGTGGTGCTGCTGGTGGTGCTGCTGGTGGTGCTGCTGGTGGTGGTGGTGCTGCTGCTGCTGGTGCTGCTGGTGCTGCTGCTGCTGGTGGTGCTGCTGCTGGTGCTGCTGGTGCTGCTGGTGCTGCTGGTGTTGCTGCTGGGGGTGCTGCTGGTGGTGCTGCTGGTGGTGCTGCTGGTGGTGCTGCTGGTGCTGGTGGTGCTGCTGGTGCCGCTGGTGGTGGTGGTGCTGCTGCTGCTGGTGCTGCTGGTGCTGCTGCTGGTGGTGCTGCTGGTGGTCGTGGTGCTGCTGCTGCTGGTGCTGCTGGTGGTGCTGCTGGTGGTGCTGCTGCTGCTGGTGCTGCTGGTGGTGGTGGTGCTGCTGCTGCTGCTGGTGCTGGTGCTGCTGCTGCTGATGCTGCTGGTTCTGCTGGTGAAGCTTGCCACACCCCCCTCCCTTATTCCCCCTCCAGCTCGCTGACCTAACAGGCGAAGTCATGCGGCTAGCCGTGTCCAGCCGCGGTAGTGTTGCTGCTGCTGCCAGTGGTGATGGTGATGGTGGTTCCGCTGGAAGGGGTTCCAGCAAGCAAGGGAAGAGGGCGCGGGAGGGGGAGGAAGCCAAGGGAGAAGCGGAGGGGGGTAGAGCAGAGGGGGGTAATGCAGAGGGCGGTACAGCGACAGTGGGGAGTCTACTGGTGGTGGATGCCGATGCGTGCAAGCTGTTCGTTCAACGGCTCCATGCGGGGTTCAGTGTGCTGCCCAGGAGCAGCGAGCTGAGCAAGGAGATGGGCAAGAAGATGGACGTCATGCTGGCGAGCCTCAACAAGATTGAGAATGGTGGGTGTGGGTGTGCTGTGCAGGGGCATTTGTGTGTGGTGGTACAAGGTGTGGGTGTGCTGTGCAGGGGCATTTGAGTGTGGTGGTGCAAGGGGGAACGAATGTATCCCACCCAGGAGCAGCGAGCTGAGCAAGGAGATGGGCAAGAAGATGGACGTGATGCTGGCGAGCCTGCTCAAGATAGAGAACGGTGAGTCAAGAAGTCAAGTTGTTGTAGTGGAGGGTGTTCTTGTAGTGAGGGTGTGCTTGTAGTGGATGGTGTCCTTTTAAGCGGGGTAGCTTGATTGGTGAGTCTGCCACCCAGGAGCAGCGAGCTGAGCAAAGAGATGAGCGAAATGGTAAGAAGATGGGCGTGATGCTGGTGAGCCTGCACAAGATCGAGAACGGTGGGTGTCATCTTGACGGTAAGGGTGCAGTGTTGGGTGTGTGCTGTAATGGGTGTCGTCTTGATAATCTTGACGGTCAGTGTGGTTTTACAGTGTTGTTGTAATGGGGAGTGTGCTTGTTGTGGGGCAGCTTGATTGGTCTGAGCAAAGAGATGTGGAGTAAGATGGACCAGGGTGTTTTTGAGAATTCTCAAAAACACCCTGCAAAATCAAGTACTTTGCTTGCACCACCTGTGATGCTGACAAGCATGCACGAGATAGGGAGTGGTGAGTGCACCTCTGCAGTGTGATTGTCTGCACAGAGGATATGCAGAGGAGAGATGGGGAGATGGAGAGATGGATAGATGGGAAGATGGGGAGATGGGGAGATGGGGAGATGGAGAGATGGAGAGATGGAGAGATGGAGGGATGGAGAGATGGAGAGATGGAGAGATGGAATTGATGCTGGAAAGCATGCATGAGATAGAGAGCAGTTAGTGTGATTTTACAGAGTCGTTGTAACAGGGAATGTTGTTCCCCCCTTCCCCCCTGCCCCCGCCCCCTGCGACCCCTAGAGAAAGATGGTACTCCGTCTTCCAGGTGCTCTGATCGCCGCTCTTCGTGGGGGGATCAGAGTACCCGGAAGGCCTACTGCAGCTTGGGTGATCTGCCTCGTCGTCCCTGCTCCCCCCCGCTTGTCCCGCACTTCCCCCTCCCTTGCCCCTCTGCCATTTCCCCATATGCATTCCCCCCTGGCCCTCCACCCCAGTGTCCTACGCGCGCTCTGTTCGGGGATCAGAGTACCCAGAGGACCTGCTGTGTGCTCTTCCCCTCTCACCCTTCCCACCCCCCCCTTCAGTGTCGTACGCTCGCTTTGTGCGGGGATCAGAGTACCCGGAGGACCTGCTGCAGCTTGGACTGGAGGCGAAAGAGGCAGGCACAGAACGGGACTGAATGAAGGGCGACTGCACTTGTTTAGGGGGAGGACAAGGAAGGGAGCAAGGGGTAGGGAGTTTTTTTTTTAGGAGCCTCGAAAATAGACTCCCCACGCCTGGAGGCGAAAGAGGCAGCGCAGAACGCGACTGACTGACGGGGCGATGGCGCTGCTTTGGGGAGAGCAAATGAAAGGGATCAAGGGGCAGGGAGGAGAGGAGAGGAAGGGAGAAAGAAGTAGGGGGTCTATTTCTGTTCCGCCTGAAAAATAGACTCCCCTCCCTGAGCCTGGAGGCGAAAGAGTCAGGCACAGAACGGGAGTGACTGATGGGCGATTGCACTGGTTTAGGGGGAGGCAAGGGAAGGGAGAAAGGGATAGGGAGGAGAGGAAGGGAGCACGGGATACGGTTTTAGGTTTTGCTGGGGGCTAGGGATTTACTGGGGTTTAAGGGGTAGGGGTTTACTGGGAGCTATCGTATCATGCTCTTTGAGGGCGAGGGGACATGGAACATGCAAGGTGCAGTACTGTGAACTGTTACTTGTAAATAGAAGCTTGTAAATGGGGCATGATATAAAACTATCTACAATGCAGGTTAAAATCTTTTCATAGATCAATGTGAACTTCACATTGTGAAGCATGCTTTCAAACAACAGTAATATAAAGCCGCTCAAGCCAGTATACAATATGTCTCAGGGTAGCGCAGTGACTAGAACAAGGCAGTACAAGGAACATATAGTGTTGGAGTTGTACCTTCTGAGAACACAAGCACATCTAGCCTAAAACTTCTACATATAAGCATATGTATAAGTTGACACACCCCCTAGGCTAGATAAGGGGCAGTGCCTAGCAAGAGACACGCAACTCAGGGCGGCACTACTAGTCCAACCTCTGGGGCGGGGGTCCGAAGTCCAGTGAGCAAGAGTACAAAATAAACAAGAGTAACTCAGGGCGGCACTAGTAGTCCTCCCACTAAGACAAGAGCCACAAGGCCAGTCAAGAAAAAATCAGGAGTAGTACACAAGTCAGTGCCGCTGACAGCACGCCTAGGAGTAGCACGACAACACCCCCAGGACTAGCACCCCCAGGACCAGCACCCCCAGGAATAGCACCCCCAGAGCTAGCACCCTCCTCAGAGACAGTACCCCCAGCTCCAAAACCCTCAGCGCCCACGGACCCCTACTGCTTCGGCGGCTGCTGCGGCGTCGGCTGCGGCTGCGACTGCTGTGGCGGCGGCGGCGGCGGCGGAGGATACTCCGAGGCCGAGGGAGCATGTGCCGTAGAAACAGGTGGTGGACACCGAGCTTCAGGCCCCCCTGAATCAGCTGACTCCTCCGCCGGGCCAACCGAAGGAAGGGGAGTGACGTCAGGCGCACCAGACGGAGCGAGGGAGGTTAGCGGGAGCTACTGGGGGAGTGGGGATAAGGAAGAAGGGGGGGTTGACTGGGAGACCTTAGTGGAGAAAGCGGGTGTAGAAGGAGCCTGGCTTGTCAAAGGTGACGTCATGCGAGTGAATGAAGCGGTAAGACGGCGGGTGGTAAAAGTGTCAGTCAAACGCGTCAAGGGGGAAGCCAAGGAAGACACAAGGGACGGTGAGGGCAGTAAGCTTGTCTGCACCAGAGGCGCGAACATGAGCCAGGCAGCCCCAGTTGTGTAACAATGACGCATCACCAGGAGACGCGGTCTAGAGGAGGGTCGGCGAAACCTGTGGCTGCTGGAACATCATCAGCTTAACATGTTAAGTTGATGAGCGGCATAGCCCACTACGAACGGCCACATAAAATGGGTTGCACCAGCATGGATCGTGCCACCTCCATGACCAAACCGATGCATCGCTCAGCGACCCCATTCTGCTGTTGGAATTTCCAGCAAGGTGTACGTCTGGGTGATGCCCTCCGCACGACAGAACTGGCCAAGCCGACTAGAGGCGAACTCACCGCCATGGTCGGAGTGGCGACGCACCATGCACTGGGCGTGGTGTGCACAAGCAGTGACAAGGCACAGGATAAGAACGTCAGGTCTGTCGGCCTTCCATTCGATAGGAAACACCGTAGTGTAACGTGTGTAGTCGGCGACGAGAACAGGAAGTAGCGCTCGCGACGTGGCCCAAGGACGAGGGCGAGGCCGCAGACGTCTAGGTGGAGGGTCTGGAGTGGCGCTGTGGTGGGGGGAAACGAGAAGGAGTCAGGAGCACAGTGCAGTCGATCCTCGATGCAAGGCATGCACGGAGGCGTGGGCAAAGAGCGACGCAGGTAGATCTAAGATAAGACCATGCTGGTACATGTGACGCAGACGCGGAAGTGTGGGTTGACCTAGGCGGTGGTGCCACAGTAGCGAAAGGTGAATGAGCGACCGACACAAGCAAGCCGCAGTGACCTGGGTAGATGCAACCACCTGATAAGACTCCCCCACCGAGGGGAACACGGTGTTCTGGGGGGGATGAATCCACTACTCAAGGGACTCTTCACCCACGGGTACACCATCGATCCCGAAATACCCTTGGCAGAGAAGCGACACCTTCTACAGTGGGACAGTGACATCGCGTACCGGAAAGGATCAATGAAAATCTGGGTACCCAATTACCCTCCTTTGCGCCAGTTACTACTCGAAGAGTACCATGACGTCCTCTACGCTGGACACTTCGGTAGCGACAAGACACTCACCGGTATTGCAAAGCACTATTACTGGCCCCACTTGGCGGAAGATGTTCAGAAATTCGTCACGTCCTGTAATACGTGTCAACGGATGAACAGCAGCAAACAGAAGAAGGCGGGACTACTGCAGCCTCTTCCTGTCTCGGAACAACCATTGCAAGTGGTTAGCCTGGATTTCATCACCGGGTTACCACCTACCACCAGCGGTCATGACGCAATTCTTGTCGTCATCGACAAGTTCTCCAAAATGGGACACTTCATCCCGACACACACGACAGCACGCACCGAAGAAACAGCACAACTCTTCATTCGCTACATCATATCACAGCATGGCATTCCAACCACACTCATCTCCGACCGAGACCCCAAGTTCACCAGCAAGTTCTGGAAGGAACTAATGTCTATGCTCGGAACCAAACTCGCCATGTCATCCGCTTACCATCCGCAGACAGACGGATAGATCGAGCGCCTCAACCAGATTGTCGAGCAACTCCTCCGTGCAGCCTGCAAGGACGAGATCTCCAAATGGGACTTGCACCTGCCTGTACTAGAGTTCGCTTACAATAACGCTACACATGCCGCTACTGGTCAGACGCCGTTCTTCCTCTGCTACGGACGCCACCCACTCACACCACAGAAACTGACAACATCAGCTACAGTCCAACCTGCACATGAATCATCACGACCATGCATCAGCTTTGGGATCGGACCCACAAGCGCCTCCTTGACATCCAGCAGCAACAGAAGCGCCAGGCCGATGGCCATCGCAACGACCACACCATCACGGTGGGAGACCAGGTGCTTCTTGACACCCGCAACCTGGACATCAGCCAACTTCCATCTAAACTTCGACCTCGCTTCTGCGGACCTTTCCTCGTGGAAGCACAAGTCACTCTTGTTACCTTCCGCTTACGCCTGCCAGCTACCTGGAAGATTCACAATGCCGTCCATGTCAAACTGCTGAAGCCCTATCAGGATCCCAACACCATCTTCGTCGGACGCCAACCGCCGCCGCCGCCGTCCGTCCTCGTCCAGAATGAACCCAAGTACAAGGTCGAGTCCGTGCTTGCACACCGCCATCGTCGGAATGGCATCGTGGAGCTTCTTATTCGTTGGAAGGGCTATGATCCTTCTGAGGACAGCTGGGTACCTGAGACCGACATGGGTAACGCCCGTCGTCCTCTGCATGACTACCTTGTCAAGCAGGGTGTTACGTCAACCACCCAGCTTTGAGGGGGGGAAGTGTGAGAGTACGACCCCATTATACCACTTGTCCCTTCTTCTCTTTCCTTTCTATTTTATCTCTCTTTTTCTCCCATCTTATTTGGTTTCCTATTCTCCATTTTCAATTATCCTTTGGTTTATTCTGTTATTATAATTACTGTATATCACCGACCAGGCTCGGGATGTACTGGCGCGCTATATCTAGCGTAATCTTGCCGTAATCCTGCCGTAATCCCTTAATGCCAATAGCCTCGCGTGGCTATACGCAGGGTGATTCTATTTTCTAGAAGGGTCTATTCCCTTTGGATAGGATAAACCAGGTTACCTGATGTACTATGGAAGTATAAAAGCACCTTGTATCAATCGATAGTGCAATCTTTCCTCGACACATTCGATCCTGTGACAATGACGCACAGTGGCAGCAGGTGGAGAGCTCAGGTGTAGGAAGAGTAGGGGGGCAGCCGAATGCAATTAAGGGCAGTGGAGTGCGGTGGAGTAGAGAGCCAGCAGGGGCGCCGACTCGGAGGGGGAACCAAGACCGGCGACATGTAAGGGGTCGGCGGTAAGCATGGGCGGCGCGGCGAGCTGATGCCGTCGCGACTAGCTGGGGCGGCGTGGTAGGTTAGGGCCGCGTGACGAGCTGGAGGCCGGCGATGAGCTGGGGGCCGCGCTGCGAGCTGGAGGCTGGTGGCGAGCTGGGGGCCGCATGGCAAGCTGGGGCCGCATGGTGAGCTGGGGTCGGCGGCGTGCTGAGGGCCGTGCGGCGAGCTAGGGCCGGCGGCGAGCTGAGGGCTGCGCGGAGAGCTAGGGCTAGTGGCGAGTTGGGTCCTGCGGCGAGCTGAGGGCTGCGCAGGGCGGCGAGCTGGAGGCCATGCAGCGAGCTGGGGTTGGTGGCAAGCAGGGTCCAACAGCGACCCGAGGGCCGCTCGGGGCAGCGATCTGGGGCCTGCGGCGAGCTAGGGGTCGCGGCAAGCTGAGGGCCGTGAGGCGAGCTGGGGCCATGAAGCGAGCCAGGATGCAGAGAGGGTATGCGAGATCTGGACGAGTGCAAGTCATCAGGTACATGAGGCAACCCACCAGCTCTGCGTACAAACCACTAGGCTCTACCGACTCCTCAGGGACTGGAGCAGAGAGTCAGTAATCTACTGGCCGAGGTGTGGGTTGCGCGGAGGAGAACTGAAGACCGAACCTCTGAAGGACCGGGCGCACCAAGTGTGACTGTATGAGAGTGATGGTGCGTGCTGCTCTGTCCCTAGAGATCTGCAGGCCAAGGTAGTAGCGCAGCTCTCCTAGGTCAGTGCAGGTGTGTCTCTTCAGCAGCTCTGCCTTCACCGAGGCCAGAGCGTCTCTGTTTGCAGTAGCAAAGGCTAGATCGTCTACGTAGACAAGGATGTAGAACAGGGTCTGTCCTGAACAGACGAAGAGTAAAGGGTCTGCAGACGACGGGAAGAACTGTAAGTCAGCTAACGTAGCACGCAGAGTGTTGTAGCATGCAGCGTGCCGCAGTCCGTAAACCGGGCGTCGGAGGATCCACTCGGTCCCAGAAGTGAAGGTGCCGGTGAACCCCCACGGACGGCGCAGGTAGACCTGCTCGTATAGGCCGCCCTGAGGGAACGCTGTAGAGAAGTCAAGAGAGTGTACCTTGTAGTCACGTTGAGCTGCTACATGTAGCAGCACCCGAAGAGTGGTCATCTTCGGGGTCGCGGCCAAGGTCTGAAAGAAGTCCACCCCCTCGCGCTGACTAAACCCTCTAGCAACGTAGCGCGCCTTGAAGACTGGAGACTCTCTAAGAGGGCGCTTCACCTTGAAGAGCCACCGGTCATCGACTACGTTCACCCCAGGTGGGGGAACTGCGTCGACGTACGTGCCGGTGGATCTCCAAGATGCCATCTTCGCGTCCATGGCAGCTATCCACTGAGAGGCACATGGTCCCGAGGTCGCCTCAGCGTAAGTGCAAGGCTTCGGGATGTCAAAGGCGTCTGGGTCACCCTCAAGGACTAGCAGCATGGAGCAGAGATGAGGAGCGGCCTCGGACAGGAAAGCGGGCTCGTAATGCCGATCCTCCAGGACATCACTGCCGAGGGCAGAAGCACCCCCGACGGACGGAGGATGGGCAGGGTCAGATACCAGAGCGATGGCGTAGTCAAGGCGGCGGGTAGAGGCAAAGTCAGCGACGGTAGCGACAAGAGCGTCAAGACTCGAGACAGGAACAGACGGGTCGGTAACGAGGGAGGCAAGGACTCAAGGAACAAGAGGACTAGCGGCACGAAGGTAGTTAGACAGAGGACTCGAAGCGACAACAAGCGACAACGGAGGAGGCGACGGGAGGCGGGAAGGATGAGACGTGTGGGAACGGAGCAACATAGGGTGAGAGCGCTGAACATGAGAGACAGGACGAGGGCGAGAGGGACGACGAGACCACAAGTGGGACGGAGGCGTCGTGTCAGGAGACACAGGAGGAGACACAGGAGGAGAACGAGGGGGGAAACGAGCCGGAGACGATTCCGGCAGCGGAAACACATGGCCGTGGATAGGTAGTGGATGCGGCGGCGGGGGAGGCACAGGTGGGTGGTCAGGGGAGGGAAGACCAAGGAGGCGAAGGGCGGACACCGGCGGCGACTGATGCTGCTCCTGCTGCTCGACGCCGATACTAGAACCTCCAGCTGCACCACGGCTACCTCCGGGACACTCCACGCCAACAACCCCAGAGCGAGAACCCTCTCCAACACCGGGGCCACCCCTAGGACTGTCGAGACGAGCCACGATAGGAACCACAGATTCAGCACTCCCAGTACGAGAACCCTCTCCAGCACTGGTGCCACCCCAGGACCACCGGGACAAGCCACGATAGGAACCCCAGGACTAGCACCCTACTCTACGCCCGCACCCCCAGAGCTCGCGGACCCCTGTAGCAGCTGCTGCTGTGGCAGCACTGACGACGACTGCTGCTGCAGCGGCGACGCCAGGAGCTGCTGCGACGGCGGAGGAGGAGACATCGGGGCGGAGACAAGCGGTGAGAATGGCGTCGCGGGGCAACCAGAGTCAGCCGACTCCTCGACCAGGACAATCGACGAGAGGGGAGTGACGTGAGACACACCAGACAGGGCAGGATGGGGAGGGAGAGGAGTGGGGGCTACCTGGGGAGTGGGAACCTAAAACAAAGTCGGGGAAACCGGGAGTCCTCGGTGGGGAAAGTGGTGGTAAAAGGAGATAGACTCATCAAAAGTGACGTCACGTGAGTGAAAGAAGCGGTGAAACGGCGGGTGGAAAAAGTGCCAGTCTGACGCGTCGACGGGGAAACCAAGGAAGATACAGGGGACAGTGCGGGCAGTGAGCTTGTCCGTGCCAGAGGCACGAACGTGAGCAAGGCAGCCCCAGATGTGGAACGCAGACGCGTCACCAGGGAACCCGGTCCTGAGAAGGGTCGGCGAGATCTGCGGCCGCTGGGAGTGCGGTCACAGGTTCAGCTGGTAAGCGGCGTAGCGAACAACGAACGGCCACAGAAAATGGGGTGCACCGGCGTGGATCATGGAGGTACGAGCCACCTCCATAACCAAACCGATGCGTCGCTCAGCGACCCCATTCTACTGCGGGGAGTCCGGCTGGGTGTACGACTGGGTGATACCCTCCGCACGACAGAACTGGCCAAGCCGACTGGAGGCGAACTCGCCGCCACAATCGGAGTGGAGACGCAGCACAGGGAGGCCGCGGTGGACTCGCGCAGCTACGACCTAGGGGATAAGAAAGTTAGGCAAGTCGGCCTTCCGCTCCAGGGGAAACACTGTGGTGTAGCGCGTGTAGTCGTCGACAAGTACTAGAAAGTAGCGCTCGCGACGCGGCCCAGGGACGCGGGCTAGGCCCCAGACGTCCATGTGCAGGGTCTGGAGTGGCGCAGTGGTAGGGGGAAGCGAGGAGGAGTGAGGAGCATGGCGCAGCTAGCCCTGGACACAAGGTGTGCACGATGGCACAGGCGAGGGAGGAAGGGCAGGGAGCGACACATGGAGACCGAAGACAAGACCGTGATGGGACATGTGATGCAAACGCGGGAGTGCGGGGTGACCTAGGCGGTGGTGCTACAGCAGCGACGGGTGAGTGAGCGACCAACACGAGCAAGCCGCAACGACCTGGGTCGACACAGGCACATGAGGGGACGCCCTTACTGGGGGGGGATGCAGTATCAAGCGTAAATAGGCCAGATACAGGGTCCCGGGGGAACGTGGTCAAAGGAGCACTAGTTGCGGCCTCGGTACAGACCACGTACCGCTCGTGTCCGGGGAATGTAGTGGTGACACCGAGGTCTTGAAGACAGCCGACACCAACTAGGTTCCTAGAGAATAAGGGGATGTGCAGGCCTGTAAGATAACCCGAGGGGACCGCCGGACAGGGAAGGGTGGTGGATCTACGGGCAACTACCGGACCCGAGGAGGGGTCAGCAAGCGCGACAGCAGCAGGGGCGGCAAGAGGCGTGAGCGCAGTGTGGTCGCGGAAAAAGCAGGCAGACGCTCCAGAGTCGAACGTGAAGGAGAGCGAAGCAGTAGCGTTCGCCGGCAGAGGGGCTAGCGTGGAGCCTAGGCTAAACAAGGCAGGGGGTCCTATGCTTGACGCAGCAGAGGAACCTAGACTACACACACGGGACACACCTACGCTAGGCAACACCTGGTAATAGGGTCCAGTCACACTAGAGTCATCAGCATACATGTCATACAAAGCAGACCTAATCTGATCCATGTCCATCTCAAAAACAGGCACACGACGACGCATCAGGTTGTACCAGTCGGGGGGGTCCGCCGTGGGGCTGGAGCGGAGACGGAAGAGGTCGTCGAGGCGGCGGTAGCTGTGCGCGGCAGTGTGACCAAGGCGGTCACAGACGGTGCCGCGGCGAGGGTCCGGACTGAAGCTGGTACTGTTAGGTGACCACACTAGAGTCGCCACCCGACACCGAGCTGCGCCTCTCACCATAGCTAGGGCTAAGGCTAGGGGCGGAAGCGTAGGCGGGGAGGGGGACCTAACCTAGCATAATAGCATGTTAGCATAACGGAATAATATAGATTATGCCATACAGGGAGGTTTTGTGCTATGGTGCTGTACCCTCTATGAGCATGCACCTATTTAGCCTAAAACATATACAAATATGTGTTGACTCAACGAACATATCGGGTTGGAGTTGTACCCTCTAAGAAGACTAACCTATCTAGCTTATAGCTCTCACATATACACATATGTATAAGTTAACAATATGTACATGTTATCGTCAACCAAACAGGGGAACAGAGCACACTACACCACCAATTGTGCACATGAAATCTCTACTGCGCGATGTGAGGTAGAAGCCCCTCCAGCCCTAACCTGTACATAATCCATATGTATTGGAGTCGACTAAAAAGCGTTATCTACCGTATATGCACAAACTGTCACTCCAGCTAACACCACCCCTGCCATAGCAGCAACACCCATCACCTCTGCTGCTCCCAGCCACACTACTTCCACCCCTGCCAACACCATATTTCTGACACCTTCACAACAGCATGCACATAGCCTAGTCGCACAAACTCAGCTCCAGGCATGCCAAGCAGCAGCAACAGCTAGCTCATTCTATCAAACCCAGGTCAACCACTGCTAACCCTGCTCTGGCACCCAATCCCACTTGAAACCACGCACATCCCTCACTCACTCCACATCAGCATGCACATAGTCAAGATGCACAAATTGCGGCTCTAGCTTGTACTTCAGCCAAGCAGCACCTGCCAAGGACACCAGCACACCCACTGCAAGCCCCGCCTTAGCACCAAGACCCATTTCCTCGGGCACTACTGGTGCTGCTGCCAGCAGCACCACTGCCACCCCCGTCAACACAGCCGACAGCCTTCTCACATTTTTCAAAGCTGCCCGACAGGACGAGCATTTCTCCGTGTGCTGTCCGAGCCGGTCCAGCATTTCTGCACGGGACAGAACAGTGGATGGGAGAGGTGCAAACCTCGCCGAGCCTGCGGTTAGGCTTGGGTCCCAAGCTGGCTCGTCACCGCCGTACCTACGAAGCCAGTTTCGGAAAGCCAAGACCATTCTATCGGCGGCTGCAGGAGTGAAGGTAAGCTTGTTATACGGCACTCCACCCCCTCCTCCGCCACCGCCTCCGCCTCCACCTCCCCCTCCTCCTCCTCCTCCTCCCCTTTTCAGAACCTTCTCCTGCCCCTGTAACACAATCATATCCCCATCGTAGATAAGATTTGACGTCAGGTGTTCCAGCCACCGCGGGTACAGCTGCCACCACTTCCCCCCAGGCACGGTCAGCCGAGCGAAATTTCTCGCGCTGCACACGATAGAGCGCGTCTTGCCCGGGCCCATGGGGACGTTAAAGGAGCAGATCCAGAGCTGCCAGTGCTGCCTGCCTATAACGGGGATGGTGGGGGAGAGGTCGATTCGGCTGAAGAGGGAGCAGGGCGCCATGAACCAGGAGGAGATCCGAGGAATGGAACTATCCTCTACGGTTGACTCGTCTGCTGTGTTGGTGCTGAAATTGGGGTGGTTTTGAGTGGCGGTGCTTTTAGCGGATGTGACTGTGGCGGGCGTGCTTGTATCGGTGGTGGCTTCGAATCCAAACGGCCCGCTGGATGTGATAGTGAACGGCAGAGGCTTGGCTCGGTCCCTGCGCCCTGTGACCTGAAATTCGGGTAAGCAGGAGTCAGGGGAGGCGAGACGAGAAGGGTCGAAAGTGAGACGGTTCGAGCCGACGTTAGATGGGGAAGAAGTGCGTTTTGAAGGGGTTGGGGGGGGGAGTTGAGCTGGGAGACAGGCGAAGTGAGATAGGGTGCGGTTTATTTGCTCCCGTAACGAGTGGGCCTTTTGGCCGTGACAAGTGTGTCAGGCCAGTACAATCTCTGAAGGCGCCTTGTAACGAGTACTTTAGACTACTGGTAGCAACACTTACACTGTGGTGGGCGAATTCGATGTGGGAGGGATCCGACACGTTCTCCATGAGCGTATCGAATCCATAATACAGATCCCTCTGTATAGTCACACTCGAAAACCCCTCGTCCTCAAACACGTCCGGCAATCGCGGCGGCTCGACAGCTAGAGCTTCGGTCCACCGCCCTTCCTCCGGCCACACGAATAAGAGTCCCTGGGAAGCCACGGCTGGGTACGAAGCTACGCAGGCTCGGGACGACGAGCAGGCTCGGGATTCCGGGCCTGTGTCCGAGGCTTGGGGGATGACCGCGCACCTTCCGTCGCCTCGAAACGACCAGCCGTGGTACGGGCACTGTAGCAATCCGTTCTCGTCCAACCGCCCTTCGGAAAGCGGCGCGAGGCGGTGCGGGCAGCGGTCCGCGTGTGCCCGCCAAATGCCCTGCGAGTCGCGCCAGATCACCATGTCGCGACCAAGGAGCTGGAAAGGCGTCGGGCGGCTCGGATCGAGGTCTTCGATTAAAGACACGGGGTACCAATTCTTCTCCCACACGAACTCGCGGCGCGATTTCGGCTCCGAGTGAAACGAGTCGTCGAGAGCCTTCATGCTCCGTTCCGCCGAAACCCGCACTTTCGCGGGGGTGTCGGGAGTTCCCCCCTGTGCCTTGGCGGATCCTTCCAAGGGCGTGGGATCGGGGGGAGTTGCGAGGGCGCAAGATACGGCGGGGGGTCGGCGGAATCTCCGCGCGCAGCTGCCGCCAGCGCCGGAAGTCCGCCGACTCAACGATTTAGGCGCTAAAACTTTCCTGCATCCGTGAAGGGTCCTGAAGGAAGCTGTGATGCTAGGGACGGCGCGCACAGGGATAGGCGAGACCACCGCACATGGTGACAGCATCGTTCGCGGCGCCACTTTAGTAGCTGCGACTGCGGCTCCACTCGAATTCATAGTCGCCGCGATTAGTTTTGAGGTGCCTCAAAACTAGACTCCTATCACCCCTCTATTGCGCTATTCCAGTCTAGTGAGAGAGCTTTTCAACCTTATTCGTAAGGCGTCGCGTCGCCAGGACTAATCGCAAGTTTGAGTCTGACCGACGGACAGCTCCACCGACCTCGACACGGCTTTCTGCAGCCTCGCAACGGGACGACCTCTGTCGTATGACAAATGTTTCTAACCCCTGCTCGGCTTATGTATGCGCAGGTTACAGCGACACGGCAGCAGCGTGGGACGAATTCGCCATGAGTTACTGGAAGGGTCCAGAGCCGTCTATGACACTGTAGGTCGGGAATTCGCCAGAGCCAAACCATGGCTGCTAAGCTGTCGGTGCTTTCGAGGCAAAAGGAAGCTACGAGGGACACTCGAGTCCACGGAAGGGGGACGTCATGCACATGCGAGAAAACGAGGGTCTTACTCTAGCGAACTGGACGTCCGAGCTGGAAATATGAAAAGGAGCAAGAGGGGGGTGACGGGAGTCCCTGACATCTGAGCTGGATTATGCCTCGAGTTTAGGGTGACGAGGACAACACGAGCAAGGCTCTAGGAATTGGAGCGGAGGAGGAAAGACAAAGTAGCAAGGGCAAGACCCGTTTCTCCCTCCATTTCCGAGGCGCGGAGATTGCGCGGTGCGCAGAAACAAACATGGAGAAATGTCGGTTCGGTTAGGGACGAATTCCCATTGGGCAGGGTGTGGTTGCGTTGCGTGGGTGGTGTGCTGGCGTCGCGCTGTCCTGCACGTGGAGGGCGGTTGGGCAGGTGGATTGCGGTGCGACGTTGGCAGGGTGTGGAGGGCTGAGATGTTGCCACGCACAAAACGCGCTAGAGGCCTCTTATCATTTCTCTAAAATCTTGTCAAAGCTTTTTGTGGAGCTACCGGTATGTTTCTATGAATGTTCCAGATATCTAAGAATGCCATTGCCACCCCACTAAGCTTATGCTAGGGACTAGAATGAGCAGGCTGCAAGGAGGGTGGGGGCATAAAATGTTTGAATGCGAATTCTTGAACTTAGATTGTTCTTGTTGCCTGAATAGAGCCTTCTTGTTTTCTTCCTTTCCTCAAATTTAAAACAGGAGACACTTCACGAGAATAATAAGCATTTCTCACATCCATGGTGATAATATATGCCTAGCTTAACTTCCATATATTTCTTATCCATATTAGTTACTGTATGTTTTGGCAGGTCCGTGTACAATACATGATTTCATTTCACCGTCCACACACGACCTATGGATCATCAGCCCCAGCCAGTCGCAGAGTGGCTCACAGCGCTGAATTCACCCAGTGAATGTTGATGCATGCGCCATGCCCTCCGTCCCAGTAAGTTCCGACAATGTCGCCGTGGCTTCACATTCGGGTTTCTTAGACAGGCTGACGTGGTTAGACTAAGCGCCAAGGGTACGGGTCATACTTGTTCGTGGTCCGGCTAGGAGGGTTTTCCAAAAACGTGGAACTTAGTTAGCCAATGTTCTCGCTTATCAGTCGGCCGCAGGTTATTCGGCCGTTACGTGCTTAACGGTCCAGGCTGTTTCCAAGGCCTGGGCCCTATGTCTTCCTAGAAACGAGTAGAAACGACCCTAGAGCCGAGTAGAAACAATAGCTTGAGAATAGTATATCAATCCTTTCGAGCAGCGTAGCTGGTAACAGCACAGGCAGCGAGAGAAACGTACGGCTACGATCACATTTGCGGAGATGGCGGCGGACAGGGAGCATCACATCCGCCGGATGGACCGGAACATATTCGGCCTTCTCGAGGGACACAGGCTTGACTCTCACGTGGTGAGGAAACGACCTCGGGAATAGATTAGTTAAAGCCGCGCTTGATTCTGTGAAGCTAAGCTAAGCTTAACTCGCACGAGTTCCCTTAAACGCCTCGTTTATCGTATTGAAAACAATTTTTGGTTTCCTTGGCCTCCGCACTTGGATGTCTGCTTCAGGTGCCTCCGCCTTACTCCGAGCACCACTTCAGGCGCCGGTCGCAGTTCCACCCCTCGTTATTGTCACGCCTCGCACTGGAAACCGTCATGGAGGTCGGTATTGGCTTGCTTTTGAGATATTGCTCCAAAGAACACAATTTTTCTCTGGCTTCTGCGTCTCCCGGTTATTGCTCATCAATGAGATGCTGTGTTGCTGGAGTGGGTTTCAAGCAAACTTGAAACGTAGAAGCAACGGTTTGCTGGGTTGCTTTGGTTTGTTTTAAGAGTTGATAAATAAAGCCCGTTTGGGCCTCTGATTCCGTGGATTGATTGGAACTGCTCTCTGTTGCTTACTTGGGTGTGTGGGTGCTTTTCTTGGGCGCCTCAAAAATAGGTGTGTGTGTGTGTTTTTTTTTTTTAGGCGCCTCAAAAATAGGTGTGTGTGTGTGTGTGTGTGTGTGTGTGTGTGTGTGTGTGTGTGTGTGTGTGTGTGTGTGTGTGTGTGTGTGTGTGTGTGTGTGCTTTTCCGGCATTGCTGTTCTGTTGCATTTGATTTGATTGGATGTGAAATCCCTCAGGGTCATCGGGGGTGTGTGAACGCTATAGGATGGAATCGATCCGGCTCTCTTCTCCTCTCGGGATCCGACGATTTCATGGTGAGCTGCAAAACCTTTCTGATGGTTGCTGATCTATATTCTCTCCAATCTTATGGTCGGATTCCGGTTGCTGATCTGTTTTTTGTCAAACTCATCGGTCTGTTACATTTGCTGACAAAGGTATTTCTGTCAGTTTTACTTCTATTCTAACGACATCTTTCCCCTGCTACAGTTTTACTTCTGGGACTACGGGTCATGGCAGGGATTCCAGTCAGGGGATTCGATCCTTTCAAACAACTTCTTGTGTGTATTGGCTCCCGCCACTGCACCTCCCCCCCCCAAAAAAAAAAATCCTGTTGGTCCGCAGTAATAATTGTGGAGTACAGCTCACGCAGGTTACCACACTCAGTTAGACCCAGGCCATTCAGGCGAGAACTGCTGCGTGCGCTCACGCCCCTCTCGTGCTGTATCGCCGAACCGACACCCCCCTTGCCATCGTGTGTGCAGGTGAACGTGTGGGACCACAACTTTTGAGTCGACTCAAAAGAGGTGACTTTTCAGTCGACTCTAAAGTCATCTCGTGTTGTACTGCTGACCTGACAACCCCCTTGCCATCATGTGTGCAGGTGAACGTGTGGGACTACAACTCACGCCGCTTGCTGCATTCTGTAGATTCCGGCCACTCCGGCAACATCTTCTGCGTGCGCTTCATGCCGGATACGGGCGATGACCTGCTGGCCTCTGGTGCGGGCGACAACGAGGTGAGCGGGATTAGGCGGGGGTCAGGTTATATACCGAGGCGAACTCTCTGTGCACCTAGGGAATTCACTGGTGACTTTTGAGTCGACTCAAAAGGCACCGAGGCGAACTCTCCGTGCACCGAGGGAATCCACTGATTTTCTTTTTTTGAGGCGCCTCAAAAATAGACTCTCCGTGCACCAATGGAATTCACTGATTTTCGCCCTTTACCTCGAGTTCGGTATTATTATGTACCTGGTGCAGTGCAGCCCTCTCCATGCACGCCTCACATGCCTCCGATCACCTGCACTACACCCCCTCCTCCCCCACAACACCCCCCTCCCCCCCAACACCCCCCCCCCCCTCCCCCTCCTCTCCCCCCTCCCCCATCTACCCAATCAGGTGCGAGTTCACAGACTCTCTCGCTCCCCCACTGCTGCCTCCGCCACGTCATCCTCCACTCCTGCAACCGGTTCGCCAGGCGCCGGCCGGCAAGAGTCGTCCGCATCCGCTGGTCCCTCCCACTCGTCAGAGCAGGCGGCTCTGTTCCGGTGTCACACTCGACGGGTCAAGAAGCTGGCGGTGAGAGTGTATTCCTCTCTCTGAGCTGCGGAAAGAGCAGGTGCGAAAAGAGCAGGTGCAGTACAGTGAATGCGCCTCACTCTTGCTTGTCAGAGCAGGCGGCTCTGTTCCGGTGTCACACGCGGCGGGTCAAGAAGCTGGCGGTGAGTCCCAGAAGGCCTCTTGTTGACTGATCAGTAGGTTCAGAAACGTCTCACGCGTCAGACTTTTGATAAGTCAGCTCGGTGCCACACCCGGCAGGTCAAGAAGCTGGCGGTGAGTCCTAGAAGGCTTTCTGCTGACAGAGCTGGCTGTAGGCTCTGAAACGTCTCATGCGCCAGAGCAGTAGGCTGCTCTGACGAGTCTTTTGTCTTGTATTATCAACCACGTGGAGTGCCAGTGAGAGCGCAACACTCCGTAAACACGACCTGAGAGAGACGTCAATCCGCCCCCCTTACTCTACCTCTTTCTGTGTCTGTTCCTGCATCGTGTGTGGTTTCATCTCTATGTGACTGCATCGTGTGTGGTTTCATCTCTATGTGACTGCATCGTGTGTGGTTTCATCTCTATGTGACTGCATCGTGTGTGGTTTCATCTCTATGTGACTGGATCGTGTGTGGTTTCATCTCTATGTGACTGCATCGAGCAGGTGGAGGAGGGCAATCCGCATGTGGTGTGGAGTGCCAGCGAGGACGCAACGCTCCGTCAGCACGACCTAAGAGAGACCTCTATCTGTCCGCCTCCTTCGAGCCACGCCCACTCGCACTCCCCTCTCAACCACTCCTTGTCTCACGGCGCTTCCGAGTGCCGCGGTGTGCTGGTACGTTAATTCACACACCTGCTTCGTTCGTCGGCTTACATAGACTGACGCGTCTCTTAAGGGAAATCTGTCAGGATGACTTAAAAGATTAAGAGAGACTTCCGTTCTCTCAGTCCTCTTCCCTCTGGTCACTGGCACTCGCAATTGATAGCACCCTTTTCGCTCCTCTCCGAGATTAAACTCTCAAGCTTTTCGCCTCCGCTCTTCTCCCTTCCCAGCTTGACCTCCGGGCAGCTGGAAAAGTTTCGCTCCAGGATGCCCCTCGCGATTCATTGGCTCTCAAGTCCTGTGCAATCAGCCCCACTCGACCACACCTGCTGATGGTGGGAGGAAGGTGAGGCATGCGTGAAGGAGAAGAACGAAGGAGAGGGTAGGGTACATGGCATCTTCTGCTGGATGGAGGGGAAGGTGCAGGAGACGCCTTTGCTCGCACCTGCAATGGTCGCATGCCTGCATTGCCCTGCTCCCTTTCCAACTTGTGCTTGACTTGCCAGCGCACATATTTCTGTTTGTGCCGCCCCCTCTCTGCCCGTCCACTCAGTGACGCCTTTGCTCGCATCTACGACAGGCGCATGCTCCCGTCGCCCTCCTCTCTCTCCCGCGCCTCTCCTCGACCCAAGCCCCCACCTTCTGTGCTCCTGCTCGCCCCTAGCCACCTCTCTGAACCGGTACGTCCCTAGTGGAGTAGGCATGTGCTTTTTGGAAAGGTATTCTCCCATTGCTCTCCCCTCTCTTCCGCCCTGCTTCGCCCAAAGCCCCCACCGTCTGTGCTCCTGCTCGCCCCTAGCCACCTCTGCGTGCCTAGTGGGTCAGACATATGCTTTTGGAAAGGTATTCTGCATTGCTCTCCTCTCTCTTCCGCCCTGCTTCGAACCAAGCCCCCACCGCCTGTGCTCCTGCTCGCCCGTAGCCACCTCTCTGAACCGGTGTGTGCCTAGTGGGCAGACATATGCCTTTTCAGAAGGTATTCTCCCATTCCTCTCCTCTCTCTTCCGCCCTGCTTCGCCCCAAGCTCCCACCGTACGTCTTGAATGCGCCAGCCTCATTCAAGCAGTGCGTATTGGGTGGAACTACGACCCTCCCTCTCTCCCCTCCCCCCCTTCCCTCCCCTCCCACGTGTTCCCCTCCCTCGCTCCTGCTTGCGCCTCAAATCCTTGGTCTCCCCTCATCTACCCTGTACCTGTGATTTGCTGTTCTCGCTGCGACCAATATGTGCATCTGGGTTCATCCCCCCACCTTCTTCCCACCCCCCCTCTTCCCCCCCCCCATGACCAACCCCTTCCCCAACCCCACCCCTTGTGACTCCAGCAAGGGCGCTCAGGCCTGCATCTCACCCACGTGGCCTTCTCAGCCAATGGGGACGAGGCGTTGCTGAGCTACAGTGGCGAACACGTGTACCTTTTTGACCTGGATAGAGGTGAGCTGGCCTTCGTTGGCTTTTGTTGACTTGGAGCGAGGAGAGAGGAGAGAGGAGAGTGGAGTGAGGAGAGAGGAGAGAGGAGAGGGGAGAGAGGAGAGTGGAGAGAGGAGAGGGGAGAGAGGGGAGGGGAGAGAGGAGAGTGGAGAGAGGAGAGAGGAGAGAGGAGCGAGGAGAGGGGAGAGAGGAGAGTGGAGAGAGGAGAGAAGAGAGAGGAGAGAGGAGAGAGGAGAGGGGAGAGAGGAGAGGGGAGAGAGGAGAGTGGAGGGAGGAGAGGGGAGAGAGGAGAGTGGAGAGAGGAGAGAGGAGAGGGGAGAGGGGAGAGAGGTGAGGGGAGAGAGGAGAGAGGAGAGGGGAGAGAGGTGAGGGGAGAGAGGTGAGGGGAGAGAGTTGAGGGGTTAGATCTGGGAGTTTGTTGCACCTTATTCCTGTGCTCTCAGCTTCGAACTCGTGCTTTTAGAATAATGATGTGTTTGTTTCGGAATGAGCCCTAGCTGGAGATGACAGAGCGGTTCGGTTGAGTTCTTGCACGAAATGCGTTTTCCTGTCCCTCCCCTTCCCTCTCCTTCCCTCTCCTTCCCTCCCCTTCCCTCCCCTTCCCTCCCCTTCCCTCCCCTTCCCTCCCCTTCCCTCCCCTTCCCTCCCCTTCCCTCCCCTTCCCTCCCCTTCCCTCCCCTTCCCTCCCCTTCCCTCCCCTTCCCTCCCTTCCCTCCCTTCCCTCCCCTTCCCTCCCCTTCCCTCCCCTTCCCTCCCCTTCCCTCCCCTTCCCTCCCCTTCCCTCCCCTTCCCTCCCCTTCCCTCCCCTTCCCTCCCCTTCCCTCCCCTTCCCTCCCCTTCCCTCCCCTTCCCTCCCCTTCCCTCCCCTTCCCTCCCCTTCCCTCCCCTTCCCTCCCCTTCCCTCCCCTTCCCTTCCCTTCCCCTCTGCCTGCTCCCTGATCGCCTCATTCTTTCCTCGCAGCAACCATCCCGTCAATGGTCTACACTCCAGCTGACGTGGCATCGTCTCACAGGCTGGCTCCACTCAAGCCTTCCGACCTTCATTACAATCACACCACTGGCAGCACCAGCAGTGGTGCTGGTGCTGGTGGGGGGCGCACAAACGGGTTCTGTCAAACTGAGCAACAGCAACAACAAGAGCACCAATTTAACCACCAGCATAAACCCACGTTTCCTCGCTTAAAGCCCCATACGTCCGAACCTGGATCAGCTAAGCCCTCCTTGCCTGCCAGCCTTGGGGAGACAGACAGGAATGGCACCCTGCCGAAGCAGACCGACAGGTTCGGCAGCGGCAGCAGCAGTGTGTGGGAGAGGTACACCAACGGCCGGACCGAGCTGCCTCGAGCGGGAGTGGTTCGGGACCGAGCCGTGGGCCCAGGCTTGGGAGCGAAGGACCGGGAGTATGAAAAGGTTAGTCACGCTTGCTTGCTTGTCCCCTGTTCTCCTCTCCCCTCCCCCCCTCCCCCCCCCCCCCCCCCAATTCCCCGTCCTTCTCTTTCCTTCTTCTCCCCACTATTGGCAGTGACTGTCTATCAATCCTAAGAAACGTGCGTTCAGTTTTAGGGAGATTCAGAACCGTGGGCGATTTTTTAGGCGCCTCAGAAATCGTTCAGTTCAGGACGAGGTGCGAAATCATTCAGTTCTGGGGGCTCATCACTCGCACTTCTCCTCCCACTTGTGTCCTGCTTCCCTCGCCCTCCTTTCCCTTCTCCTCACCCATTCTTCCCCTCCCACCCCCTGCTCTCCTCCCCGCCTTCCCCTCTCCCTCGCCCCCCCCCCGTCCCCTCTCCCTCCCCGCCTTCCCCTCTCCCTCGCCCTCCCCGCCCTTCCCCTCTCCCTCGCCCTCCCCGCCCTTCCCCTCTCCCTCGCCCTCCCCGCCCTTCCAGCTGCAAGAGTGCGAGCAGCTGCTGGAGGAAGCTTCTGCGATAGTTCTCGGCCTCGAGGCGGAGTCGGAAACAGCTAGGGTGGCAGGTGAAGGCGGAGAGGGGCAAGCTGCAGGGGGGGCCACAACTGGGGGAGGCACATCTGGTGCAGGGGCGCAGGGAGGGGCGTCAGGGGGGGCGTCAGGTGGGGTGGGCAGGAGGGTGTCTCGGGAGAGGGCGAGGGGTCAGCAGCTGGCTTCCGGACGGCGGGCCAGCCTGGCAATAGACCTGTGCTCTGAAGTGCTGGAGGAGGGGGGCGAGGTGGTAGGCGTGGGGATAAGGCACGATGCTCTCTGCACGCGAGCTGCCGCATTTCTGGAGGTAAGTAGAGATCAGGGTTTCAAAAGTTCTCCTGCCAAAGAGGCGGCCAGCCTGGCCATTGGTCTGTGCTCTGAAGTGCTGGAGGGGGGAGGGGAGGTGGTGATACGGCACGAAGCCTTGTGCACACGAGCTGCTGCTTTCCTAGAGGTGAGCGCTAGTAGTAGTTGTGGCAATAAACCTATGTTCAGAAGTGATGCAGGGGGGGGTGGGGGGTGGGGGGATAGGGGAAGGGATACGGCACAATGCCTTCTGCACCAGGGCAGCTGGTTTCTTAGAGGTGGGTACCTTGAGCGAGGCAAGGGAGGGACTGGGGCGCAGTTGTGGCAATGTTTGAGTGGACAACGTTTGAGTCGACTGAAGGGCGTACCTTGAGGCTTGAGAGAGGCAAGGGAGGGCCTGGGGCGCAGTTGGGGCAACCTCTGCAGGGGCGTAGTGGGGGGGACGATTGGGTCGGGCAGGGCAGGAGTCAAGGGAGATGGCAGGGGGTCGGTCAGGGCACTTATGTAAAGGATCGTCTTAAAACCCCTCGTAAAGGATTGTCTTAAAACTCGTCTTCCGAAGACTGCCATAAGGAGAAGCCGTTGTTTTTTCAACTCTGTCTACTGGTGCCTTTAAAATTATGTTGCAGAGGGGATGGAAGAACGACTCACTTATGGTGCTGCGTGACTGTAACGAAGCCAGGCGGATCCTCCCCACGTCCATCCGCGCTCACCTCTACATGGCCCATGCCTTCTCCCAGGTAGGCTGGCTCGCGTTGACTTGCGTTGACTCGCGTTGACCTGCATTGACTTCTGTTTCATCGAGCATTGCACTCTAGCACATGATTCTCGTACATTGGGCTGACTTTCCTCTTTCCTCCCCACGTCCATCCGCGCTCATCTCTACGTGGGCCATGCCTTCTCCCAGGTAGGCTGGCTTGCATTGACTTGCATTGACTTCCGTTGACTTCTGATGACTTATGTTGCTTAGAGCATTTCGCTCTAGCAGAATGACACAGCATGTCTCACGCGTCAGGCTGGCTCTATTGCCTTGACTTGCGTACTCGTCAATTGACCTTGGCTATTTAGGAGGATGCACATAATTATACTTTCTCCTCCTGTCAACTTCTGCTTGAGTACGGACAAGCAACTTTCGTCAACAAGAACACCGCGGCCACAAGAAAGCAGACAAGAATGCTTACGTTTTGAAGCTAGTAAGTCAAGGAGAACTCACCTCCTCTGCCCCTCTCCCCCCTTTCGTCCAGTTGGGCAGGCCTCAGGAGGCGGTGCCAAACGCAACCGCCTAGAATATGTTGTGTTTTTAAGAATTCCCAAAACAGAACACCTAATCTGCTGCTCTCCCCTCTTTCGTCCAGTTGGGCAGGCCTCGGCGGTGCCAAACTCAAACGTCAACCGCCTCCAGTGACAGCTGGATGTCTGGCACAATTCCGGGATAACCACGCACGCACTTGTGTTTGCTACGTGTTTCCTTCCGTCCCTTTCCTTTTCGCCAGTTGGGCAAGCATCAGGAGGCAGTAGAGTTTGCAGAGCGAGCAGCTGTGTTCGATAGTAACCTCTCCTCTTATGTCATGTCTTTGAGAGCCAAGATGGCTGCTGCAGGTAACGTTTGAGTCGACTCAGGAGTCATTCCATGTTCGATAGCAACCTCTCCTCTTATGTCATGTCTTTGAGAGCCAAGATGGCTGCTGCAGGTAACGTTTGAGTCGACTCAGGAGTCATTCCATGTTTGATAGCAACCTCTCCTCTTATGTCTTGACGAGCCTAGATGGCTGCTGCAGGTAATTAAAGCCCCTCACCTCCCGTCCTATGTCTCCATTTCCGCTTTTGAGTCGACTCAAAAGCATTTCCCTTGTGTCCTTTTCTCTCCATCTCCTCCCTGGTTCTCCTTCTTGCTTCATCCCTCCCCCCTCCCCCCCCCCCCCCTCCTCCATGCTCTTGCGTCTAATCCAGCTCTTTCGCTCCTCATAGTTTCTAATCTCCTTCCTCTTTCCACCATTTCGCTTCCACCCCTTTCCCCTCCCTCCGCCCCTTACCCCTACCCTCTTCTTCCCTCCCTACCCTTACAGAGGAGGGGCGTCAGAACCGACTAAGTGCATGGGGGCAGGGGCACATGGGGGGTGGGGGGGACGGGGGGAGCAGCAGCAGCAGCAGCGGCACCAGCAGCAGCGGGGGCAGCCCCGCTGCTCCCTCTGGCACTGGTGCAGCAGGCACAGCAGCAGAAGCAGCAGCAGAGACCGAGACAGGCACAGACACAGGTGCCACTATAGAGGCGAGTGCTGGTGGTGTTGGTGGCGGTAGCAGCGGTGCTGCTGGTGCTGTTCCTGCTTCTGCTGCTGCTACGGCTGGTGCTGTGAGAAGTACTTCTGGTGCTCCTGCGGCTGCTGGTGCTGGTAGTGGTGCTGCTGGTGCTGCTGCTTCTGGAGCTGCTGCTGGTGGTGGCGGCGGCAGCCGCAGCAATCCACACAGGCGCATCAGCATCCGCTCTCTAAGTGAATTACTTAGGTCGCGCTCGCGCCGGCGTGGGCACTTACTTAGTGAGAATGAGGGGCCTGCTTTGGCTGGAGAGGCTCCAGCAGTAGTGGTCGGAGAGGAGGGAGTGGGGGCAGAGAGACCGGGGGAGGCAGGAGAGGGGGGAGAGGCGGGATTGGGGGAGGGGGGAGTGGGGGAGGGGGGAGGTAGTGGAAGATTTGGGGGTCAGGGGGGAGAGGAGAGGGATGCGAGTGGGGAGAGGAGGAGAGAAGAGCGGGTAGAGGACGAATGGGAGGAATTTGAGGAAGAGGAGGAAGGGGAGGAGGGGGAGGAGGGGGATGAAGACAGAGATGAGGAGGCGGAGGTGAATATTCAGGTTGAGTTAGGTGTTGGAAGGGAGAGAGGGGAGAGAGAGGAGGGAGCGGGGCTAGAGGAGAGGGGAGGAGAAGGAGGAGGAGAGGGGGGGGGGGACCAAGGAGGCAAGGAGAAGAGGAGAGGGGGGGGACAGAGAGGGTGAGTCTGAGTCTTAGGCTGCGGAGGAGCAGAGAGGGGGAGGGGGACAGGGAGGAGGGGGTGAGGAGGGAGAAGAGTGCGCGAGGGGCGAGTGGGGAGACGAGGAGAATGGGGGGAGGGAGTGTGATTGCGAGGGAGGAGCACGGGTTGGGGGCGGAGGAGGAAGAGGAGGAGGGGGAGGAGGGAGGGGAGGGGGGGGAGAGGGCGTTGGATATGAGGCAGCGGTTTGTGGGGCATTGCAACACAGGGACAGACATCAAGCAGGCGTCGTTTCTGGGAGATAGGGGAGAATTCGTGGCGAGTGGGAGTGACGACGGGCGGTGGTTTGTGTGGGAGAAGAAAACTGGCAAAGTGGTGAAGATGCTGACAGGGGACGAGCACGGTGAGTGGGATGAGGAGTGAGTGGGATGAGGAGTGGGTGGGATGAGGAGTGAGTGTGGTATATGACTGTGCATGTGACGATGGGGGAGGTTTGTGTGGGAGAAGAGGACAGGCAGAGTGGTGAAGATGCTGACAGGAGATGAGCATGGTGAGTGGGATGAGGAGTGGGTGGTTTTCCAGGAATGGGTGTGGTGCATGGCATGACTCTTGTGGGGAAGGTATGACGGCATGGTGAGTGGTGTGGGGAAGGTATGACGGCATGGTGAGTGGTGTGGGGAAGGTATGACGGCATGGTGAGTGGTGTGGGGAAGGTATGACGGCATGGTGAGTGGTGTGAGGAATGGGTGTGGAGTGGTAGATGGCATGACAGTGCCTGTGACGATGGGCAGAGCGGTGGTCAAGGTGTTGACAGGGGACGAGCATGGTGAGTGGGGGAGCAGGAATGTGCATGCCATGCTATGCATGCTGTACAACAGGGAAGAACTTAAGCGTTGTACCGTCTACTGTTTTTGAGAAAGCTTGTTACACCCTTGCTAGTTGTAACACTGCTCCTACTTGTAGCAACGCTTTTCCTTCTTGGCTCTCTTCCCCCTCCATTGCCTGCCGTGCGCATTTGTCATGCAGTGATCTCCTTCAGGTAGACCTGCATGAACTGCATGTGTTGGATCTGCATGAACTGCATGAACTACATGGACTACATTCTGACTACGATCCCTTCTGCTGCTGTGTAGCCAGCAGCAGCTTTGAGCCCTCATCCCGTCTCAATGCTACCTTTTTGCCCTTGGTCCCTTTGCCTCTTGGCTTTCCGTCTTCCCCTCACACAGTGGTGAACTGCATCCAGTGCCACCCCTTCGACTGCTGTGTCGCCACCAGCGGCATCGACGACACCATCAAGGTGAGGGGGATGTTGGAAAGAGGGCGAGGGGGGGGCACGCTTTACCCCTGCCCGCACATTGACGACACGATCAAGTTGGAGCACTAGGAAAGTATGCCTAGATGTTGCACATGCCATCCCCGTCTCCCTCGTCTTCCATCTCTCTCTCTCTCTCTCTCCCCCTCTCCATCCTCTCTCCATCCTCTCCCCCTCCTCTCCCATCCTCTCCCCCTCCTCTCCCATCCTCTCCCCATCCTCTCTCCATCGATCCTTGTCTCCCCCGCCAGCTCTGCAAGCCACACGTCCCTTCTTCATCACAGCAGGCATCACTCCCTTGATCCCTATGCCTCACGTCCCGCCCCCTCTCCATGCCTCCCACACCTCCTCTGGACGCCGCATGCACCATCAGCATCACGGGCCGCAGCTGGACTGGCAGGGCCGTAGCCGTCCAATATCACTTACTCCCTGCCTGTGCCGCCCATCTCACCCCACTCCATCCCCATCCCTAGGTGATTTTTGAGTCGACTCAAAAACCATCTCACCCCCCTCCATCCCCATCCCTAGGTGATTTTTTAGTCGACTCAAAAACCATCTCACCCCCCTCCATCCCCATCCCCCCAACAGCTCTGGACGCCCCTACCCCATCCGCTCCAAGGGTGGCAGCAGGACTGGCAGGGCCTGAGCTGGCCGATATCATCCACTCTCTGCCTTCTGCCCCTCGTCTCATCCCCCTCCCTTATCCCTCCACCCCCCCAACAGCTCTGGACGCCCCATGCCCCATCCGCTTCAAGGGTGGCAGCAGGGCTGGCAGGGCCTGAGCCGGCTGACATCATCCGGGTGATAGTGGAGAACCAGCAGCGCATGCGCCGCCCTAGAGAGTTCTTTGCGTGAGTACCCTCGCCTCCTCTGGTTCTCAGTCTCTCTCTCTCTCTCTCTCTCTCTCTCTCTCTCTCTCTCTCTCTCTCTCTCTCTCTCTCTCTCTCTCTCTCTCTCTCTCTCTCTCTCTCCCCCTCTCCCCCTCTCCCTCTCATCATTCGAGGCATAGTGCAGAACCAGCTGCCCATGATGTGTGTGATCCTGTGGGAACCACTAGACCAACGTACCAGTGTACATATCATGGCTCACTTAGTTTGTTGTGTTATCGGTCTGGTCTTTGCAGGCCTATGGAGCTTCTGCAGCGCTTGCAAATGCACGACAATGCGGGATTTGAATGTGCGCAGTCCTGAACGTGTTCACGTGTATCTACCGTGCCCGTCTTTGTATAGAGTTTGCAAAGACTAAAGCACTGTATCAGCTTAGGCTTCGCTGCTCAGAGAATTTCAAGCCCTTGCGACTCTACTCCATTGTCTACGCCGAAGAAACTTAGTTTTATGGTATGGATGTTTGAAGGATTTGTACAGGTCGTTTATCCTTGCTCTTCAGTTTTGTACCTAAATATTTGTCTGGCCACGATATCGGAGTCCACTGAAGCGGGAATTCAACATCCTTCTCCCGCATATAGACGACCTTCGCTGACTTGGCGTCCCCGTTGTTTTTTGTAGGCGGAAAACTTCCCGCGGAGTAGGGATGGGTGAAGCTCCTCCGCTTTCTTGGAGCAATTCGGGGAGCCGCGGTCGACGACCCGTGACTCTCTGGCTCGAATTCCTTTGGCGGAGGCTCTGCGAAATCAGAAACAAGTGTGTGTTCCGCCGAAGAAGGCGGATTGCTCGCACGCAGCAATGCAGTCAACGGTGTCAACACCTTTCCCTCATTCTGATTGGCTTTCCTGTTAGCGTTGTCAGCATGCGGCGCGGTGCCTCGCTGGCACACAATTTCGCGCCCCCCTCTCGCTTCCTCTTCCCCCTCCCCTGCCCTCCTGCCAGACTGCCTCCCCTCCCCAGGGCTCGTAGGGGGAGTGCAAATACCAATGGGGAACAAGTAACAGCCACAGAGCATCAAAACTAACAAAAGCTCAAAATTGTCGATCTGTGTTTAGCACTCAGCTTCGCTTTCCTTCTGTTCTTCGCCACTCCAGCAGCGCTTTAGTCTCCATGCACCAGCGGCTGTTTTAGCTCTAATTACAGCGTTTAACTAGCTTTTTTTCTTTTTTCCTCGACGCGGCAGCTTTTGGAGCTTATTGTTGTCAGTTTCTCGTTCAACCGCTTCCAAGTTGGGAAACAGAAAATGGCGCGACGGAATGCGGGTGTGATTTTTCTTTTCGGAGTGCTGACGTGGATTCTGCTGTTTCCCACGATGGCCACCTCCCAAAGTTCGTCCCCTTCATACTCTCTGATTGCCTTAGCTGTTTTCCGTAGCTGTTTTCCTAAGCTGTCTTCCGTAGCTGTTTTCCGTAGCTGTTTTCCTAAGCTGTTTTCCTGCTCCCGTAGGTGATTTTTGAGTCGACTCAAAAATTCCCTTCATACTCTCTGATTTCCTTTGCTGTTTTCCTGCTCCCTTTCTGCCTTCTTCCTGCGTCTGTCTGCTTTTACCCTGATTTCTCTCTGCTCCTGGTGAGATTTTCCGCACGTCTCAGAGATGCGCGAAAACGTTTTTCACTTCATGCGTTTCTCGCCACTCTCGCCACTCTCGCCACTCTCGCCACTCTCGCCACTCTCGCCTCCTTTTAACCCTTCCGCCCCCTGGGCGCGACAATGAAGGCTCCCCCTCCTGACGGCGGTTGAGTCGACACAAAAGTCTTTTGATTCGACTCGGAAATCTTTACAAGTCGACTCATATATCTTTCTAAGTTGACTCAGAAATCGTTTTTAGTTGACCCAGAAATATCCTCGAGCGCTTCTCGCCTATCTCACTTCCTTTTGAGCCCTCTGTCCCCAGGACGCTGCAAAAAATTATGCTCCTTCTCCTGCCATCGTTCCTCCTTTTTTTACTCTTCTCCCCTCCCCCCCCTCCCCCCGATTCACCACACTATCCATGTACAAGCATTTTTTAAAACGTATGTGGCGGATACTCAAATAGGGATTTTCTTCCTTCATCGTTCCTTCGCTCGACAAAGTTGCTATCACACCCTTCTTCTTAAAAGAAAAAACAGGCCAGCAATCTTGCCCTGGCACCAACTGCACCACCACCAATAACACCGACACCAACGTCACCTCCTCATCCTCCTCTAACGCCACTACCAACCTCCTCATCCTCCTCTAACGCCACTACCAACCTCCTCATCCTCCTCTAACGCCACTACCAACCTCCTCATCCTCTTCTACTACCAAACCAAAAGCTCTGGCGAGACCTCTTTTCGCCCTCGTTTCTATCCCCCCCTCCCCGCCATCCCTCCCAAAACAGGGATGCCACCCTGCTCCAGCAGCACCAATCAAAAGCCCCGGCGACCCTTGTTTCTATCCCCCCCTCCCCCCCCCCTCCCCCCCCACCCACCACCCCTCCCAAAACAGGCATGCCACCCTGCGCCAGCTGCACCAACTGCACCTACACCACCAACATTACTGTCACTTCCTCATCCTCCTCTAACGCCAACTCCAATGCTGCGGCAAATGCCAACCCTGGCGAATCCTCTCTTTATTCCCCCCTCCCCTCCCCCCTCCTCTTCCTCTTTCCCCCATTCCCCCCTTTCCCCCCCTCTTCCACTTTCCCCGCTTTCCCCCCTCCCTTTCTCCTCTTCCCCTTTCCCCCTTCCCCCCCCTTTGAAAAGCAGGCATGCCACCCTGCGCCAGCGGCACCAACTGCACCTACAACACCAACACCAACATCACCTCCTCATCCTCCTCTAACGCCAAACCAAAGGCCCTGGCGACCCTCGTTTCTGTCCCCCCCTCCTCCCTCCCAAAGCAGGCACGCCCCCCTGCGCCAGCAGCACCAACTGCACCTACAACACCAACACCAACATCACCTCCTCAGCCTCTGCTGACGCCACGGCCAACGCGAACGCCGGGACGGGCAGTAGCGGGGGAGACTCCTCGGGCTTCACCCTTTCCACGCCCGTGATCATCGGGATTGCCGCGGGGGGAGCCGTTGTACTCCTTTTAGTGGTCATCGCTATTGGTCTCGCGGTGTGCCGGCCCCGCAAGACGGTGATTCGCCGCGTGCACGCGCCGCCGCCACTGCCGGTTGTGTACAAAGGTGAGATGGGCGTGGGATACTATTTTTGTGGGGCTGAGTGCAGTTCTGCTCTTTTTAGTGTTCATCGCTATAGGTCTCGCGGTGTGACGGCCTCGCACGAACGTGGTTCACCATGTATGCTCTGCGACGCCAGCACACCGTGAGAACAGTCGGCAGTGGGGGTTCCGCATGCGTCATGTACAAAGGTGCGGGGGTTTAGGGTTGTACCCGTTTTAATGTACTCGTTCTTGTGGTTGTTTCGACGCAAGAGGGTGCTGGTTCGCCGCGTCTGCCACATGCATGCGGCGCCACCACCACCGCTGCTTAGACGGGCGAGAGAGATAGAGAGAGAGCCCAGTTAGGCTGCCCCAAGATTAGCTACAGGCACTCACCACTTGCTTCTCCCGTCTCTCTAGCGTGTACCTAGGTTTTTCATCAATGCAAGGACCGCTTGAGAGAGAGACCAACAATGAGGTTTGCACCCGCCGCTCCCGTGTTGTCCAACAATGAGAGAGGGGTGTCAAACTATTGTTTTTTTTTTTTTTAGTCGACTAAAAAAACCAGACTCAAATAGCTGTTAAAAAAAAAAAAAAAAAAACTCGACTATAAAGACATCGCCAATGAGAGGGGCGTGAAACCATTGCTTATTCTCTCGTTCCCCTCACTCCTCTCCCTGTCTCTCGCTCCTTCCCCTCCTTCCCCCCAGGCGCACCGCCCCCCATGATTCCCTACCCTGGCGGTCCCCCAGCTCCCCAGGGCATGGGGGGAGCCGCTATGGGGGCAGGGGCAGCAGGCATGGGCGCGATGGGGGGGAAGGGCGCACCTGGGATGATGGGGGCGGGAGGGGGGGGGATGGGGAGCGGACATATGGGGGCAGGGGGACAGATGATGGGGGGAGGGGGACAAATGGGGTCTGGTCCTAACGCCCCTCCTTGGTCTACGGGCGCAATGGGGGGCACAATGGGGGGAGCGGTGGGGATGGGCGCAATGGGGGGAGCAGGGGGGATGGCGTCAGGGCACTCGGGGGGCAGGCAGTCAAGCCAGGGCAACTCGTCTGGTTCGCTCGCGAAGCAGGCGCTGCTGCAGGTGGGTTTCTTCTCAGGTGCGTTGGTGTGTTCTCAGGTGCTTCAGGTGAGTTCTCAGGTGTTTCCGGTGAGTACCTAGGTGCGTCCTGCTTGTGCCCCTTGTACTGTGACGTTGCTCCACAATACCATTTCTATCCCCATCCCCCTCCCTTTGCAGGTCTTCCGGGAGTACCCCTTAACAAAGATGGTGTCCTGTAGCACGCAAAGGGAAACTAGTTTTGAGGCGCCTCAAAACTTGTTCCGGGAGTACCCCTTGTCAGTGATGGTATCCTGTAGCACGCAATGGGAAACTGGGCCGAAGGCAGGCGCATTGGCAGTGGCAGCTTTGCAATGGTTAGTCCCATACCTTAGTTGCTACAAACGCGTTTGTAGCAACTAAGTCCCATACCAATGTCATCTCCTCCCCATCCCCCCTCCCCAGAAATGGAGCATGCTACGGGCAACTGGGCTGAAACCAGGCGAATCGGCAACCACAGCTTTGGCACTGTGTAGCCTCATAGATGTCATATTCCTCTCCCCGTTTTCTCTTCCTTGCAGGCATTGCTGGAGTACTCCCTAGGAGAGATGGAGCATGCTACGGGCAACTGGGCTGAGACTAGACAAACAACGATAGAGGCACCGATATAAGCACTCCAGACAAAAGCACCCATACCTTCACTTCTTCGTGCAGGTATTCCGGGAATACTCCCTAGGAGAGATGGAGCATGCTACGGGCAATTGGGCAGAGGGCAGGCGCATTGGCAGTGGCAGCTTTGGCGACGTGTATAGGGGGTTCAACCCGTATAACCCCGACGAAACCTGGGCGGTCAAGCGGTCGAGGATAATTACCCAGGACTTCCAGAGGGAGGTGAGTCAGCTTATAAGGGGGATGAGATCCCTTGGGTGCTGCATTGACTTGAGATCCCTTGACCACTCATTTCCCCGTAACACACTTGCACCATCCGGGTGTTGCTCACACCAGCTAAAGAGACGGCCTCTAAGCACAACCCGGCGCTGGTGCGGCTGCTGGGGTACTGCATTGACTTCATATCCCTTGACCACTCATTTCTCCTCTCCTACTTGCCTCCTCCCTTCTTCCCATCCTGACGCCAGGTAAAAGAGATGGCATAAAAGCACCACCCGGCGCTGGTGCGGCTGCTGGGGTACTGCATTGACTTCATATCCCTTGACCACTCATTTCTCCTCTCCTACTTGCCTCCTCCCTTCTTCCCATCCTGACGCCAGGTAAAAGAGATGGCATCAAAGCACCACCCGGCGCTGGTGCGGCTGCTGGGGTACTGCATTGACTTCAACCAGGCCACGCAGAACATGGAGCAGATCCTGGTGTACGAGTTCGTTGACAACGGGGACCTGGAGAAGTGGCTCAGCCAAGGTGCGAATCCCCGCATAAAGGGTTGCCACTTGGGTAATTGGTTGCACATTGTAGGGTGGGTAGTATTACTGCATTGACTTCAACCAGGCCATGCAGAACATGGGGCAGATCCTGGTGTACGAGTTTGTTGACAATGGCGACGTGGAGAAATGGCTCAGCCAAGGTTACACCACACCACCACATATCACACCCTGGGTGGGGTGGGTACTGCATGTGAGGTAAGAATGCCACCACATAAAGATGGGGTTACCACCACATAAAGATGGGGTTACCACATTGCCACAGAAAGGTGAGGTACTGCAGGCCAGGTGTGCATAGCACATCTGGGTGGGGTGTATCGTGCTGGATGCATTTTTTATAATTCTAAACAATGACCCCATCTGGGTGCGGGGTGGATACGTTTTTTATAATTCTAAACAATGACCCCATCTGGGTGCAGGGTGGATACATTCTCAGAGAATATTGCATCACCTCTTCCTGCTGTTGAAGCAGTGATATAAGGTTGGTTTTGAGACGTCTCAAAACCAACCTTATATCTCGGTGAATGCTGCCTCACCTCGTCCTGCTGTTGAAACAGTCTCGACACGGCCGCTGACAGGAAAGGAGCGGGTGCAGTTGATGACAGGAGTCGCAGAGGAGCTGCAGTCCCTAGCTGGTTCCCACGCTCCTGAAGGCCCCTTGACTCCTGGCTTTTCCTGCGTCTCCCCATCCCTCACCCCCCTAACTTCAGACACGGCTCGCCCACTGACAGGAAAGGAGCGCGTGCAGCTGATGATAGGCGTGGCGGAGGGGCTGCAGTACCTGCACAGCTTTGGCATCGTGCATCGCGACATCAAGCCCGCCAACATCCTACTTGACTCCAAAATGAATGTGAGGGTTTAAGGGTGATTTGTCAAAGGATGGATGTACGGGTGCAGGGTGATACGGGCAGGGTGATACGGGCAATGAAGGACGAACGCCAGGGTGCGGCGTGACATGGCCAATGCAGGATGTACACAAGGGTGAACAGGATGTACACAAGGGTGAACAGGATGTACACAAGGGTGAACAGTATGTACACAAGGGTGAAAAGGATATATCAAGGACCATAGGGCCAAGACTTCTCAGACCTGGTCAATTCAGGTTGGACGCAAGGGTGAATCAACAGAATATACTAAGGACCATGGTGCCTTCACAACTTCGGCTATGTGCATCACGATATCAAACCCAGGCGTGCGGCTGGGAGAAGGGAAGTCACCACCAATGCCCCTTATGTGTGTGAGTCATTCCCCAGCCGAGATCAACCCCTCACTGCCTGGGCCGCCTCACTCAACTCTGCCCCTCGATTTCCCACCCTCCTTCCCTTTCATTCCAGGCCAAAGTGGCTGATTTTGGGCTGGTGCGGCTGGAAGCAGGGACATTAACACGAGTAGCCCCTATGTGTGCGACCATAGTGCCTCCCAGCGTCGGCTATGAACATCACGATATTCAAGCCATCAAACCCTTTCCCTCCCCTTTTCCAGGCCAAAGTGGCTGATTTCGGGCTCGTGCGGTTGGGAGCAGGGACGTCAACTGCAGTGGCTTCTACAAGGGTGATGGGAACCCCGGGCTATGTGGACCCTGCTTACTACAAATCACAGAAGGCCACTCCTGCTGCTGATGTGCACAGGTACAGAGAGGGGTATAATGGTAGATACAGTGCGGTACAAGCAGGTATTAAGCTCTGAATGCGTGTATGTGGTTGGTTACCCCGGGCTACGAGGACTCTTCTTTCTACAAGTCACCGAAGGCAACTCCTGCTGCTGATGTACACGGGTACATAGCGTTTTAGAGCGGTTTAGGGCTGAATTCATGGCAGGTACAGCGGTTTGGAGACGCAGTCATGGCAGATACAGTGTGGTAAAGAGGGGTAATAGTTCGCATAGGGCTTCTGGGTATGCGAACCCTGGGCTACGTGAACCCTGCTTACAACAAATCACAGGAGGCTACTCCTGTTGCAGACGTGCACAAGTGCAGTGAAGAATGCTGTCTAAGGGCAGACATTCACTTCACATATGAATGTGAACCAAAACCTGCATCTTCTGTGTTCCGTGGTCATTGTGTTCTGTTGTCCTCGTGAAACAACCTTGCAGGTTGCAGGACAACCTGGCTAGTTTTAACCTTGCAGGACGTTGCAGGTCGTGAAGCAACAAGTTGTTTTCCATCAACGTGGCTAGTTTCAACCTTCTACCCTCTCCCACACGCTCCTCCCATCCCATCCCATCCCATACCATCCCATACCATCCCATCCCATCCCCGTGCGTTCGTCCTTATCGCAGCTTTGGTGTGGTGATGCTCACAGTGCTCACGGCTCGCAGGGCGATACACGGTGTAGGCGATAAGCAGGTCAACATCAAGGATTGGGTATGCCCTCCATCCCCCCCGATTCTCTCTCCTACTCCTCCACTCCCCTAACCCTGCGTTTCCACCTGTCTTCTTTCCTCCTCCCATTCCTCCCCCCTCCCCCCTTCGATCTCTTTCTCTCTCTCTCTCTCGTAGTATACTCCACACTTCATCCTACCTTCCTCCCTTGCAATCCTGTTTGCATTGCTCCATTGACATGTGACAACAAAGACACCTCTCTTCCTTCCACCAACTCCCTCCTCTTCTTTTCCCAGGTTGCTCCGCTTGTCGATGCAAGCAATGCTGCAGCCTTTTAAGGACCCTCTGTTGGATGCACCCGACGATCTCATGCTGTGTCTCACCCGTCTCACGATAGACTGCAATTAAGCAGCAATTCTCCCCTCTGACTCCCTCTCGTGCATCCTTCAACCTCCCACTCTCTGACCAGGTTGCTCCTCTTGTCGATGCCAGCAATGCTGCAGCCTTCAAGGACCCTCTCTTGGATGCACCCGACGATCTAGTGCTCCGTCTCGCCCACCTCGCTATCGACTGCACCAGGGTGCCTGTGGCCAAGCGGCCTTCCATGGCCCGAGTCCTCGCTGAGTTAATGGATTTGCGGGAGCATTTTTTCGGCCCGGAGACAGATAAGGTGGTGGCGGGCATTGATAAGGAGATCGACGATTCTAATAGCCTGGGGAGCTTGACTATGGAGCTGAAAAAGGCGGAGCAGCTTGGGGCGGGTAGTGGAAGTGGAGGACTGTAAAGACTGGAGTAACTTTGAGCCCCAAAAAAACTTCATACTAGAATGGCTAGCTAATAGGGAAGAACAAATGACCAATCCGAGTAGCTGTAGGTGCATTCAGCCGCTTCATCTGTTTTATGATCTATATGTCGGGTTTGTAATAGTATGATATTCGTCTCTTCATAATTTGTGAATAGTTTCGCATGTGCAAAACGAAAGTCCCTTTTATAAGATACATGGTTATTTTCCAAGGATGAGATTATGAACATTGGTTGCTTTGTTTGTGAAGTGTTATGAATGGGACTGCCGAGTAGCGCGGAGGGCAATGACGAAACTGTGAACGAGTGAATGACAATAAAATGAAAGACAATACAATATATAGAAAGCCTAGGGTGATCCTGGACGTAGGATCGGAAGGTTCGGGAAAGGTATCGAAGGGCCTCGATGTATCGTAGCGAGGTCCGGAAAGGCCCAGGAGGCTCGAATTGAAAGGTCTGGAACCCTATCGCTGGTTCTGGACTGTTCGAGTCGTACGCCCTGTAGCAAGCCTCAGTAAGGAAATACGAATTCCTTACATGAAGCGTGGCCATGGAAGGAAACATCCTTTGAAGAGGACCTCTAGCTAAGTGAGAGATATGCTTTTGCAGTTGTAGAGCATGTATAACTGTTTGAATGAAGAGGACCTTATTGGGTGAACTGTATCCATTCACCACCACCACACGATGCTGATTGGACTGCAACTTGGGTGATGACAACATGGGCAGGTACTGTATTTTGATACATTTTTGCGCTGTTTGACGTATAAATGAAATTGCTGCTAGAGTTTGCTTTGTTGGCTGTCTGTGTTCCTGACAATTATGGGGCAGCGATTTACGTGGCAGATTAAGTATCCCATCACAATCAATCGCGATCCACTCTACAAGATATTTTTTATCGTCAAACTCAGAAGCCCACTCCAACACCCAGGACTACGCGGCTCGTAATGCTGCTCCACAGCAGCGCCTATTTTTCAAGGAATGCTGCCCTGAATTTGAGTCAAATAAAAGGCATGTTACCAGATAGTCCCACAAATTAAGGGTTGGATGTTTGTGAACTCGGAGGATTAAGGGTTAATTTACAGTGCAATCCTAGATATGAAAGTCATATTTTATTCCTACCCGGAGTGCTGGTTGGTCTACAGGGGGGATCTCCTTAGGAGGAACAGCTCCCTTAGAATATTTTCGTTGTTCCCCCCCACTGCACGTACTCACACCAAGTGACAAACAGAGGGGAGATAACTCAGAATATTTTCGTCCATCTCCCCTCACAGCACGTTAATCACACCTCGTAGTCAAAAACAGAGGGGAGACAACCCCCTTAGTAGATTTTCGTTTTTCTCCCCCGACAGCACATTACTCACACCTCGTAGTCACAAGCGGAGGGGAGACAACTCACTAGGAGGATTTTCGTCATTTACCCCTCACAGTCCCGTGCACATTACCCACGCCCTTTTCGTCTTGCCCATACACCTCCTGGTAAATTCTAACCGTGGCAGTGAAAGGGTGCTTTGAAAACAAACTTTAATGAGTAAGGGTTGATTGTTTCTGGACCCTAATAATTAAAGGTAAAGTTTACAGGAACACGATATTTTATGGGTGACTAAAAAGCAAAAGTAAGCCCTGTTCCACAGGCGAATCCGCGGTCCCATATGTCCAGCATGGAAGACATGCGGCTCGGAAATGGGTCCAATGCTCGACCTGACATTGGTCGAGCGTGTGAGCCAGCATAGCACAAACGCTGCTCCAATATTCAGCCCCACCAGTCAGGACTAAGAAATCTCCCAACATGGCAGCGGTTTCTGTGCCCTGGGCGAGTGCCATGCCACAGCAGGACAGGACAGGCCAGGAATATTGCAGGGATCTCCAACGCTCATCAGAAATGCCTTGGCTGGTTGCTCAAGTCAGGACCGCTCCTGCGTCGTGTCCTCCGCGGTGTCTTCCGGCTCTGGGGCAAACCTAGTGTCGTCGGAGTCAAACTGTGTGTCTTCATAACTGACCGTGTGTCTTCCCTTGAAACGGATGTGTGACGATTTCGGAGGGCGAACCGTCGCTGAACAAAATTGCGACCACACACACAGTACCTCGTTTCAAACGCGACAAATTCGGGGCTCGGCGTTTACAAAACGAATGGGCGGATATCTGTAAACGACTCTGCCCGACTTTGTGGCAAACATTGCATTGCGTTCGACTTCCTTACGTGGACGCCCATCGTACACCCAATTTTGCCAGTTCGTGCTGCCCATACATTTCGCAAATGGACCTGCACGTGCCGTGATTTTCGCCCGCACACTCAGCGCGAACACCAGCACGTTTTCCATCCGTTTCTGTGTCGGATCAACAGTACAGTATTTCTTTTGTGGGATGCGTTTCGTCTTTAGCGCACTTTTGCGACGATATTTTGGCGGTTGGCCAACCGGCTAACCGTGCTGGCCTAGTTCGCTTTACCGTCAGAAGGCGTCGACACTTGAGAACCCCTCAACGCTCCAGTGTCTTCCTGCGTCTGACATCCGCAGATGACACGATGCAGGAGCGGGTCCTTCGAGCGAGTTCCTACGGATGTTCGGAACTTTGATTGGGAACGGTGGATCCAAGACACACGTTTTACGGGTACTTGCCCAGAATGTACTTGTTATTTTGGGCATCACAAGAAAGCATCGGGTTTCCGTTTTCCGACTCCTCCTTGTGGCTGTTCAGGTTTAATCTGGAGAGACTATAATTCTGCCTATACTGAAGAAACAGAGCACCACCATGACAAAACGGTTTGTGTGATTCAGAAACCCTTCAATTCTGAATGTCGACTCAGAGTCCCCAATCGCTGACGAGTAACAGCAAACGTAAAAGTATGACATGGGATCGTTCCCAACTGGTGTTCGGGACATCCGTAGCAACTCGCTCTGATCGCTTGCATTCGCTATTTCCAACAAGGCAAATGTCTTGTTTGCAGAGCAGGATTCATTTCGCGTTGGTCCATCGATGCATGCATGGCTCGTCCTTTTCGCATGGTTATCTGTTCGATTGTTGTGGTGTGGAGCGACCGTGGTCTTGTGCATAGATTCCTCCTTGCGAAGAGCGATTCGCCAGTTCGAAATGTGTCCCTCCCACGGTAGCTGTGATACTCACTCAGCCCAAGTTAGGAGAACCCGCACATAGCGCTCAAGAAAAGAATCCCTTAGAACGTCATGAGCAGCATTCCAGGATAGAAGATAGAGCGAGGACCGGCAAGCAGCGGTCGCCGCGGCTGTGGTTTCCTACGGGTAGCAGAAATTGCTGCGGATCAAACCTACGAGTAGCAGGGACCGGAGCGCGGAATTAATGTACGACTCGCCGGAGTAGTTTAAATTTCTTAAATCTACGATCCCCATGGAGCATCTCGCGATTCCGCACGGCAAAACCGACGATCTCCTTCAACACGTCCCGATTCGCTGGACCCCGCCCCATTCGCCATACGACGTCGCGATGCACTCTGGCGAAATTGGTAACCCATCCATTAAAAATCGCGGGCCTTCCGCCGGGCTAGACCTGCGTCCAGGGGGCGACTTCGACGCATACCAGCAGCCAATCACCGGCGGCTTTGGCGGGGTTTCGCTAATCTCCCCGCACCACTGCCCGCTTCCGCCTCACCCTCCGCAATGGCATTCTTCCGCCGAAAGCCCCCGTGGATTGCAAGCGGCGGCTCCCCGCGATTTCCCCCGACAGCGGGGGGGCCGGCGCACGGCGCGCCCCGTCGACGACGCATGCGCCGCAGTTGCGCGCCTCGGCGGCGGAAAAATCATCGAGGAAACGGGGGGAGGAACAGAGCCACTGAACAAGGCATCCGACAGGCATGATGACGCGATCTGCAGACATAATGACGTCAGCTGCTTCTTGACCATTCGCCGGGACGATTCTAATCGGCGCAGAAGCTTCGAAGAAGCGGCAACGGTTCAGCAGCGGCACGCAGGGGGGGCCGCGCGCGTCGCGCCGTTGCCGTCGCTGGTTGAGAAGGGCCCAATCTCTGCTTTCGAATCGGACGGTCCAGGCGAGTCCAGCTGGGAAAAGGAGTTCTTGGAATGGACGGACGAATGCGCCTCCGCCGCCGCCAACGCCGGCGCCGGCGCTGCTGTCGGGGCTTTGAGGACTTTAGAACCGACGCAAGTTGAAGCTGGAAAGACCGCTGCCGCGCCATCGCTGGCGTCTTTAGAGGAGGCGGCTCGAAGGACCGCCGTCGCACCGCGGCTGGCGCAAACGGCGAAGCTGACGGAGGACGCCAGGCCGAAGTACGGCAACTTCTCGCTTCGGTACTTCGGGGTAAGCTTCGGTACTTCGCGGGTAAGCGAGTCGCTTCTCACAATCTTGAGCACTCAGTTTTGAGCCGTCTCGAAACGCGTCTCAAATCCATTTCCCCACATGCATCATTCGCGCGCGATGCTTCCCCGCGCGATGACTCAAAAGCGTCATGTCCTCGCTGTATCCTGCGGTGATTGTTGAGTCGACTCAGAAGTCATTTCCTCGCTGTATCCCGCGCAGGGAAGCAAAGCCGCACACCGCGCCGAGCAGCACGAAGACGGCCGAAAGCTCCACGCTCTCTCCCCCACAAGCGGCGGACAGTCCCGCGAAAATGGCCTCGCCCGCGGAAGCGGCGGACACTACAACCTCTTCTCTCGCAGCGGCGGGCGGAAAGAACGAGCCGCCGCCGCCGCTGCCGGTGTTGATGCAGAGGATGGGCGGAGCAGCCGAACTGGGGCAGGGGACGAATCGCCGTGCGAGAGTTTCGACGGTTGTTCCGCCGCCCGCCATTACCACGACCCTGTCTCCCCCCACGTCCGCGCGCTTCCCCCGCCGCTTCCGCACCCGCCGTCCCCCTCCGCCTCCGCGTGCCCATCTCTGTCGCTGTCCGCACGGTCCGGATGCGCCCCTTCCGTTGTTAGTACTGCCACGGACGGTCAGGATTGCGCCTTTTTCAGTAAGGGTGAAAGGAATGGTGATGGCGATGGCGGGTTGGGCTTTGGTGGTCACTCGGCGGGTTTAACGCACCGTGACAAGCAAGAGCGGCGCAGCGGGGATTGGTGGGACGGTGTCGCTGAGTGGAATCTTGGGGAAGCAGGAACAGGAGCAGGAGGAGGAGCGGCAGCAGTAGCAGCGGAAATGGAGGCGCAAGTGGCGAGCTACAAGAAGAAGCTGGGTGCGATGATGAAGTTTTCCACGTGGGAGCAGCAGGAGAAGCAGCGACTGCAGCAGCAGCAGCAGCAGCAGCAGCAGGAGAAGGAGGAGGAGGAGGAAGACGCGGGCGTGAGTGAGGCACGGCGGGCGATAAAGAATGCCCAAGAGGAGCTGTTATTTCCCAAGTACCACTCGCAGGGGCAGCAGCAGCCGCAGCAGCAGCAGCAGCCGCAGCCCCACCAGTTGCACCACCAGCACCAGCCGCAATCCTACTCGCTAGAGACGAAACTGCCGCCCGGAGTGCCGACATTCGGCAGCAGGGTCGGCCGATCGGCGAGTCGAGACAGCGGCGACGGCTGTGTGACGTGGGGCGATGGCAGCACTTGGGGGGGTTTGAGCAGGACCCACGGGGAGTATGGAGGTGTGGGGAGCGGTGATGGTGGATTCGGCAGCAGGGTGGGCCGGTCGGCAAGCCGAGACAGCGGCGACGGCTGTGTGACGTGGGGCGAAGGCAGCGCTTGGGGGGATGGCAGCAACAACACGTGGGGGAGCGACGTGGGGAGGCGCAACACGACGCATGGGGAGCATGGCACCACGTGGGGGAGAGACGAGGGAAGGAGCATTGGGGAGTGCGGTGGTATGGGGGTGAATGGCGCCCCTAGGGGCAGAGAGGTTGCGTGGAGCGGCAGGGATCCTGGTGGTTTTGGTGGTACGATGGGGGGGAGAGGCACGGGCAAGGGCAGTGGGGAGAGTGGGGGTGAGTGGGGGAGGAACTGGGAGTGCGGCAGCATGGGGTGGGGCCATGATGAGGCGTACAGCATGTGCAGCAACGCCAGCAGCGCTGTGAGCGGCGGCGTGGGCGGAGGTGTGAGTGGCGGTATGGGAGGAGGTGTGAGCGGCGGCGTGAGCAACGGTTTTAGTGGCGGTGTTAGCAGCGGCTACCGCCTCTCGCCGCCTCCTGTCAGCAACCACCCTCAGAACCACTCTCAGAACCACTTTCTCGGCTTCGGCGATTCATCTCTTGTCAGCAACCACTCTCACAACCACGCTCGCGGCTGCCATGCTGACTTCTCGCCTCCTATCAGCAACCACGCTCGCGGCTATGCTGACTCCTCGTCTCACGCCTCCATGCCGTCGCCACCTGCCAGCGCCGCGGCCACGTCATCTGGCGTAGTAATGCCCTCTGCTGGCGTGGCATCATCCAACGTGGCGTCCGGGGGTGGCTGCAGGGTGTTTTCTCCCGACCAGCTCACCGCAGCCACCAACGGTTTCCAATCCGCCAACCTGCTGGGCGCTGGCGCGTTTGGGCAGGTGAGGAGAACCCTCTATGGCGGTCTATGGTGTGGTCTGCCTCTCTGGCAGCATGGCAAATCGCGCGTGCGCTATTTGCACATAGTGCTGCTCATGGGGCACTGCCCTGCCCTCAACTGCCACTGCCGGTCATGCTCCACATTTTCTCTCTCAATGCTGCCGCGCATGCGCATGATGGCAGCTCACCTGGGTCCCTTTTGAGTCACTATGATGGCAGCTCACCTGGGTCCCTTTTGAGTCACCATGATGGCAGCTCACCTGGGTCCCTTTTGAGTCACTATGATGGCAGCTCACCTGGGTCCTCCTGGAAGCTGCCACCCGCTCATCGTGCTGCTCATTCATTCGCATCCTCCGTCTGCCACTCCTCCTCTCCCTTTCGTCCCACCGGTCTTCAGGGGCAATCTGCTGGGCTGCCAGGTGGTAATCAAACGCCTACAAGGAAACGGATGGCAGGGCGAGGAGGAGTACAATACAGAGGTGCAGGTGCTGTTGCGCATGCGCCACCCGCATATATGGCAGCTGATCTTCACCCTCAATATCCCTCTGCTTCCCTCCCTCCCTCCCACAGGTTTTCAAGGGCAATCTGTTGGGCTGCCAGGTGGCTATCAAGCGGCTGCAGGGCAACGGGTGGCAGGGCGAGGAGGAGTACAACACGGAGGTCCAAGTCCTGTCGCGCATGCGCCACCCGCACATAGTGCTGCTCATGGGACACTGCCCCGCCATCAACTGCCTCGTCTATGAGTACCTCCAGGGGGGAGACCTGGCAGAGCACCTCTCCTCATCGCCTAACACAACCCCTACAGCTGGCTCAGCTGGTGGTGCCGGTCGTGGTGGTGGCGCTGCTGCTGCGGCCGGCAGCAGTGGCACGTTTCCAGTCTGCCGCCCACTCTCCTGGCCAGATCGGATCCGGATCTTATCCGAAGTGACTGGCGCACTCCTTTTTCTACACCAGCACTCACCCCCGATCGCCCACCGTGACTTAAAGCCCCAGAACATCCTCCTCGATACAAGCCTGCGCGCTAAGGTCGCTGATGTGGGCCTCGCCCGCCTCATCGACTGCGGTAACGGGGAGTTCGGAGGGGAAGAGGGAGGGTACGGAGGGGGGAATGTGACGGCGCGAGTGAGGGGGACCGTGGGGTATATAGACCCGGAGGAAATGGTTACGTGTGAGGTGTCGGTGCTTGGGGATGTGTATGCGCTGGGGGTGGTGATGATGCAGATGCTGATGGGGTTGCCAATGGTGCAACAGACGGTTAAGGTCATGCGGATAGCTCATGAGGTGCTGCTGAAGCAGCAGCAACAGGGACACCAGCAGCAGCAGCAGACGCAGACGCAAAAGCACGAAATGTATGGAAGGGATGATCACAGGGGTGCAAGCAGCGGCAATGAGAACAGCAGCAGTGACAGTAGCAACAATACAAGCAGCGGCACCAGCAGCAGCAGATGGACGTGTAACATAAGCGAGAGCTTGCACAAGGCAACGGATGTGATTATAGAGAGGCTGGACGACTCAGGCGGCAAGTGGGACCGGGCTGTTGCCAGAGAGGTGGCTGCTATTGCCATCTGCTGCACCAATAGGAGGCGGGCCAGCAGGCCGGATCTGGAGAGGGAGGTGCATGAAGTGCTGGTGCAGCTTGCAGAGGAGGCTGCTGGGCGCCTGGAGAGGCAGCATGAGGCGGCGGACAGTCACCTACTGTGTCCCCTGTCTAAGGTGAGCAAATTCGTTGCATGTGATATCATCTGCTGTGCCCTCTGTCTAAGGTGAGCAGATCGGTTGCGTGTTACATTTGCTTGTGGACTGCATGCATGTGTTGTAGGTGGCTGCTTTTGTAGCTTGTCTTCTTAGTCTGGTGGTGAATGTCTGGTAGCTGATTCCTTGTTTGTAACATCTCTTGCGTGTGGGTGGGTGCTTTGCAGATGAGGATGAGGGAGCCAGTGGTGGCAGCAGACGGGTACACCTATGAGAAGGAAGTGATCGAGAGGTGGATGGAGACAAGCAACAGGTCGCCAATCACAGGAGAGCCCTTTGAGCACCCAATGCTCACTCCGAATAATGCGATAAACGTGATGATGGCATAGATGCGGCTGTACAACTCCCAGTATTCACACCAGGCCCCAAGATTCGTTTTTAGGCATGCTGATTTATCATCCTTGCCCCCCATACTTCGGCTGATTTCTCAGCCTCCCCCTGAAAAAAAAGGCTGAATGTGACAGCCCCGACTCGAAAAAATTCGCTGAGAGTTCAGCCTTGGTAAAAAAAAAAGAAACGCTGAAACGCTACAAAGCCACTGTCATTAATGATACTCATTAAGTTTCATCTTCGGCGTCTACATCAGCCTCTAGTTCCCCCCATCATCCATGGGCCCACTACAGTCATCATCATCTTGTCAACTTATACATATGTTGTTATGTAGAAGTTATAGGCTAGATAGGTGTATGTTCTTAGAGGGTACAACCCCAACACTACATCTCCCTTGTTCTCGCTTCTTTCGATCATACTAGCATTCTAACATGGTATCATGAGTAGGCTAGGTCCCCCCCCACCCGCTTCCGCCCCGCGCCCTAGCCTACCGCGCCTCGCCGGCCCCTAGCGCTTCCGCCGGCCCCTAGCGTGCCCCTCGCGCCCTAGCCGTCCCCTAGCGCCCTAGCCGGCCCCTAGCGCCCTAGCCGGCCCCTAGCGCCCTAGCCGGCCCCTCGCGCCCTAGCTGGCCCCTCGCGCCCTAGCTGGCCCCTCCCGCCGTAGCCGGCCTCTCGCGCCCTAGCTGGCCCCTCACGCCCTAGCCAGCCCCTCGCGCCCCAGCCGGCCCCCTCGCGCCCTAGCTGGCCCCTCCCGCTGTAGCCGGCCTCTCGTGCCCTAGCTGGCCCCTTGCGCCCTAGCCAGCCCCTCGCGCCCTAGCTGGCCCCTCGCGCCTAGGTGGCCACTCGTGCCCAGCCGGCTCCTCGCGCCGTCCCTTGCCCCTCGCGCCGTTACCGGCTCCTCGCGCCCCAGCCGGCCCCTCGCACCCTAGCCGGCCCCCCTCGCGCCCTAGCCGGCCCCTCGCGCCGTCGCCGGCCCCTAGCGCCCAGCCGGCCCCTCGCTCCCAGCGCCCAGCTGGCCTCCTCGCGCCTCGCCGGCCCCCTCGTGCCTGACCGGCCCCTCGCGCCCTACCTGGCCCCTCGCGCCTCGCCGGCCCCTTGCGCCCAGCCGGCCCCTAACACCTAGCCGGCCTCTACCACCTAGCCGGCCCCTACCTCCTAGCCGGCCCCCACCTCCTAGCCGGCCCCTACCTCCTAGCCGGCACCTACCACCTAGCCGGCCCCTACCTCCTAGCCTGCCCCTACCTCCTAGCCGCCCCCTACCTCCTAGCCGGCCCCTCTCCTCCGCACCGTCGGCCCCACAAGCCTTGCCGGCCCCTCTCCACACGCCGGCCCCTTGTGCGCCTTGCCTCCTCGCGTGCCCTCCTCGGCCTTCCGTCCGGCTTAGTTCCGGAAAGTCGTGCCGCAGCGTCGCTGTCTCGCCGTGCCGCTGAGTCCCTGTGCCGCTGTGTCCCGGTGCCGCTGTGCCGCTGTGGTTGCGCGATGGCGGATGCCATGCTCCGTCTGCACGCGGAGGGGCACGCGATCGACTTCGCTGCCTGGCTTGTCGATCTCCGCTGGCACCTGACAGGTCAGCGCCAGGATGGGCACTCCCTGGCTATGCATGTTGATGGCTTGCATTCTCGCCCCTCCGCTCCTGATACCCTCCCTGCTGACCCCACCACTGCTGAGAGTGAGGCCTTTGCTGCTGCTGCACTCGCTCGCACTGTCTGGGATTCTCGCGATGCTGTAGCACAGCTTGCCATCAGTCATGCACTCCCCCTTTCTGAGCGTCCGCGTTTCACTACTGTGGCGAATGCTAAAGACTTCTTAGATGCAGTGGTTGCATGCTACTCCATGCCTGCCTCCGCCTCAGCTGGCTACATGATCCTCCTCATGCTCTTCCTCGATCTCTCTGCTTTCCCCACTGTTGCTGATCTCGCCACTCACCTCCGTGCACTCAAGACTAGCTACCGTACTGCTAGCACTACTGACCAGCTCACTACCTTCCCCCCGTCATTCTGCGTCACCCTGTACCTTATTGCCATGCGCCTCCCAGACCGCTTAGCCACTGTTCGCGACCACTTCCTTAGCCAGCACCCTGGTGACCTCACCCTGACTGCTTTTGTCGCTGCCCTTTCTAAGATAGAGACTCGCCAGCGCACTATCGCTCAGTCGAGCGGTGTTGCGGCAGTCCCTATCTTTCAGGGCTGGGCTCCCTCCTAGTGCACATACACGGACGTTTCCGCTGCAGTTGCTACGACTGCTCCTGCCCCTGAGACTGCAGCGGCGGCCTTCCCGCAGCAGCAGCGCCAGCGTCAGGGCCGTCGCAGCCCCAAGGGAGGGCATGGTGGTGGTGGTGGCGGCGACAGTGGTTCCGACGAGGGGGCTGGGGCAGGTGTCCAGGAGCAAAAGGAGACAGACTAGTCAAAAGTGACGTCACGCGAGTGAAAGAAGCGATGAGACGACAAGTGGTAAAAGTGCCAGTCAGATGAGTCAAGGGGGAAACCAAGGAAGACACAGGGGACAGTGCGGGCAGTGAGCTTGTCCGTGCCAGAGGCACGAACGTGAACATGGCAGCCCCAGACGTGGAACGCGGACGAGTCACCAGATAACCCGGTCCAGAGAAGGGTCGGCGAAACCTGCGGCCGCTGGGAGTGCGGCCACTGGTTAAGCTGGTGAGTGGCGTAGCGAACAACGCGAACGGCCACAGAAAATGGAGTGCACCAGGATGGATCATGGAGGTACGAGCCACCTCCATGACCAAACTGATGCGTCACTCAACGACCCCATTCTGCTGCGGGGAGTCTGGCAGGGTGTACGACTAGGTGATGACCTCCGCACGACAGAACTATCCAAGCCGACCGGAGGAAAACTCGCCGCCACGATCGGAGTGGAGACACAACACGTGGAGACTGCGATGGACTCATGCAGCTACGACCCACGGGATAAGACGGCCAGACATGTCGGCCTTCCGCTCAAAGGGAAACACCATGGTGTGGCGCGTGTAGTCATCGACAAGCACTAGAACATAGTGCTCTTGACGTAGCCCAGGGACGGGGGCTGGGCCCCAGACGTTTGGAGTGGCGCGGTGGCAGGGCGAAGCGAGGATGAGTGAGGAGCACGGCGCAGCCGGCCCTCGACACAAGGCGTGCACGATGGCACAGGCGAGGGAGGGAGGGCAGGGAGCGACGCAGGGAGACCTAGGACAAGACCGTGCTGGGACATGTGACGCAGGCGCGGGAGTGCGGGGTGACCAAGGCGGCGGTGCCACAGAAGCGACGGGTGAGTGAGCGATCGATACGAGCAAGCCGCAGCGACCTGGGTCGGCGCAGGCACCTGGGGTGACGCCCTCTCCAAGGGGGACTCGGTGTCGAGCGTAAACAGGCCAGATACCGGGTCCCAGAGGATCGTGGTGAGGGGGGCACCTGTGGCGGCCTCGGTACAGACCGCGTACCGCTCGTGGCCAGGGAACGTAGTGGTGACGACAAGGTCTTGAAGACAGCCGACAAGGTCCTGAAGACAGCCGACACCAACTAGGTTCCTGGAGAACGGGGGGATGTGCAGGCCTGTAAGGGAGCCTGAGGGAACCGCTGGACAGGGAAGGGTAGTGGAGTTACGGGCAACTACCGGACCGGAGGAGGGGTTAGCAAGCGCGACAATGGCAAGGGAGGCAATCGGTGTGAGCGCATTGTGGTCATGTAAAAAAGCAGGCAGACGCACCGGAGTCAAGCGTGAACGAGAGCGAAGCGGTAGCGGCAGCCGGCGGAAGGGCTAGCGTGGAGCCGAGGCTAAACAAGGCAGAAGGTCCTACGTAAAATGCAGCAGGGGAGCCTAGACTACACTTAGGAGGCACACCTAGACTAGGCAACACAGGGTAATAAGGTCCGGTCACACTAGAGTCATCAGCATACATGGCATGCAAGGCAGAGCAAAGCTTTTCCATATCCATCTCAAAGAGAGGCACACGGCGACGCTGCGGCACGGCGACACTGCGGAACGGCGGCGCCGCGGGAAGCTGGGGCCGGTAGGAACGGGGGCCGGCTGCGGTAGGGGCGGCGAGCGAGCGGAGGCTGGCGAGCTAGGGCCTACGCGCGAGAGTCGGCGAGGTGGGGCCGGCGAGCTAGGGCCGGCGGGCTAGGGCTAGCGTGGCGCATGGGGCTAGCGGGGTGCAAATAGGGCCAGCAGGGCATAAGGGACCAGCGGGGCGCACAAGGCGCGCGGCGCTCGACGGGGCCAGCGGGGCGTATGGGGCCAGCAGGGCGTACGGGACCAGTGGGGCGCACGGGACTAGCAGGGCTCGACGGGGCCAGCGGGGCACGAACGGGGCCAGCGGGGCACGAACGGGGCCAGCGGGGCGCGATTGGGGCCAGCGGGGCGTACGGGGCCAGCGGGGCGCACGGGGCTAGCGAGGTTTGACAGGGCCAGCGGGGCGCGAGCGGGGCCAGCGGGGTGTACGGGGCTAGCGGGGCGCTAAGGGGCCAGCAGGGCGCTAAGGGTCCAGCGAGGTGCTAAGGGGCCAGCAGGGTGCTACGGACTAGGGCGGAAGCGGGTGGGCGGACCTAACTTTATCTGATACCACTTTAGCTTAGAAAGAATTGACTAGAATGAGGAGGTACAAGGAGATAAAACCTAAGGGGTTGTACGCTATATAAGCATGCACCTAGCTAGCCTATAATAAATAAAAATTATTTGTTGACTGGCAGCACCGCCATCGCCACCCACAACCACACGAGATTGGGGTAGTGGATCTTCCAGTCGCTGGTCTTGAGCACAGCGGTAAGGCTGGCATAGAATGTGCGCTTGACAGTGTTCAGCCGTGCGAGCATGGGGGCAAAGTGGCAAATCTCCTTGGCCGCCTTCCTCTTGTCAATGCCTAGAGGGGGCGGGGAAGACGGGCATCGGGGGATATTAAGAGGTTTGAAAGAAAAGACAGTTCAAGGAATCTCAACATTCGTAAAAAGGGAGAGACGAAACACAGTGCAACTCAAACAGTGGACGACACCTGGCAGAATCTCTTCACTGCTTTGTACAGCTGCACCATCAGGTCGAACCACTCCAGGCACTGATTGTGCCTGGCGGAGTGCTCCCAGTTCGGCGGCCAGGTGTCAGCACAGAAGAGGCGACACCCCGCGAGCTGTTCCATGTCCCCGAGATGTTCATCCAAGCCCTTCACCAGCCCCTTAGCCAAGGCCGTGCAGTCGTCGACACAGGTCTC